CAATTGAACTGAGACAGAAGATATTTAGATCATTTACTCCCATATGACATCTCACAGAAGCATGGCAATTTGGCATAATCAAGAGCTGTAACTGCAAATGCTTCTATTCTAGGGCGCTCCAACCTTCCAACCTTTTCCAATAGAATAGGACAGTGTTCATTCTTAGATGTTCCTTTTGGGCTTCCTACTTTCCTCAGTCAGGTAACATTCTTGTCACAACTACAGAAAGTAAGATATATGGGAAAAAATGATATAGAGTGAGTATAGTTTAATCTTTTTTAATGAAGTTTACCCTTTGGATAAAGAAAAATCCAGCTACCGTGTGACTTAACAGCTTGTGTCAGGAAGAACTCTTTGGACCACATCTAGACCTATACGACTGTAAACAGTGGGCTTAGAACATAGGGAAAGGGACATATGTTTGTACCTTTCCAAAAGTCCTGAAGTATCTCATATCAGTCTGAATCTGAAACATTGTGAAATCAGTTATTCGATCCGGAAGCAGGAGATGAACGCTCCTAGTTCATGTCCAAAAATAATTGCTAGAGCTTTTCAGCAAGCTGACTTAAAAACAAAGATAGCAAACCACAGAATTATACACTGGTATACTCTTGCACAAGCTAACTAAGATGAGAAAACCAGTCACAAGATAACTGAGGAAAAACGTCTTTTCCTGATACAGAGAATTTAAAAGTCTCACAATGAACATGGCATTACTGCCTTTTCCAAACTAAAATGTACTGTTCTGTGCAGTAGTAATGAGAAGTCACCGACCAGGAGGCTTCCAGGATTCAATGTGTTTCAAAAGCTGGTTCTGCTCAGAATCAAACTGACTGAAAAAATGTTTTGCAGCGGAACCTGGAATTAAAGACAGCAAATGAAGCAGAGGTGTCCTCAAGGTCTTCATCAGATAATCAGTACCCAAACGTATGATGTTGCAAGTGCATACATGACCACGAGTGTCCAGACAAATGAGGAAAAGCACCTGGCCCCAGACTTCTGTCTTTGACGTGCACTGATACAAACTGTAACTGCCTGAAAGCACACAGGCAACTCAGCAAGCAATACACTCCTGTGCCCAGATTAAAACTTCACGCCTTGTTCAGACATCCACGATTCATTAGGAAAAGCCAACCACAGTATGCAGTCGTAGAAAGAAGAAATGACCTGCAAAAAAGGGAACTACTTGTTATAGGAATACCTGCAAGGTAGGGTAGTGCCAAGACAAATGATGTCCCCATCTGTCCACAAACAACATGTGAGGCCTCTTCCCTATGAGCTTTTGCTGATATGGGCAGTACCTCAGGAAGAAAACAATCAGATGTCCTTCAAACCTGTGTACTTACGAAAACTAAGTAGGAAAATTATGCGAGGGAGAACATGAGGTTTTCCCCAAAGCACCACAGTCAGCGATGTGCTCTCTGGACTGAGCTTGTAAGGTGCCATTCCTCCAAGACCATTCCAATATTCTGATGTGCCACTATGAAAGCTATGACTGTTCATCACTATCCCTAAAGGGAAGAGCAGAGCAGGCAGATGATGTGGCAAAGCTCCTGCAAACAGACTGAGAACACTGGGCTGCTCCTCTAATAAAGAACACATGACAGAAAAAATAATGAAATGTAAATTGGACAAAAAAAATTGACAGAGGCTACCATAGGCTCTTTTAAGAGAGAAGACATTTGTGTTTTACATGTGCAAAACATATTGTAACTCAGTTTGATGCTGCAAGATGTCAAAGCTACTTCTATGAGAAGGGAGACCAACATGAAATTTGTACTTGACTTTCAAATAACACTAAGGTCAAGAATTCAAGATTAAAAAGTGTTAACAGAAGTATTATAATACAAATGAATTTATGCAAAAAAACCCCCTAGAATTTTGGGATGGATATAAACACACATGCTTCAGCTCTTAAGCCAAACTTTGACTACTGTCAGTTGAGAAAAGATTAGCTTCTTTTACTAATCACATACTTTGCTAAGTCTCCTCTTTCAAACTCCTGGTATTGCCTGCTGAAAGGAACAAAACACCCTATAGACTTTCTGTCAAATTCAATTTCCAATGAAATATTTTTTCAGTTCTTATTTCACATTTTCCAAGTGGATTACTTGAAAATTTCTTCTATTAAGTAGCGTGAATACTGAAACCATTTGCCTAGCCCTGTCCTTTACCTAAAATTTTATCACTAAGCTGCATGTCCTCTCTCACTACTTCTCTGCAACTTTGAGAAAACCTATGGTTAGATCTTCCTAATTCTGATTTACTGTAAGACAAGAGCAACTATTGCCCACAGTTCATTCACTACTTTTTGGGTTTTTTTCAATGTATCCAAAAAGAAATGCTATGTATCTTCAGTAAGGACAACTGAATAAGCCACATATGCATATCTTGAAATCAGGTAAGTACTGCAGTAAATAGTGCAGCCATAGTTCATTTATTATTTGGTGTTAGGCTTGGGTTCATTTTTTTCCCATAGAAATACTATGCATCTTCTATAAGAAGTTTCTTCAAAAGAAATTCTTTGTATCCATAACGAGCTGATCACTGACAGAGCTAACAGGTGCTGAAAATAGTTGGCTCTTCCTCCTTTAGTCCAAGGCTGACATTTGATGACAAACTGGTCTGGAATGAGGAGAGAGATAAAAATAGTAGTCCCCCTCTTCCCACTAAGAAAAGAGAGAAGAAATTTCAAGATCTGTCTCTACTTTCTGGGGACAAAACTCTAGGCCGGCAATGAGAGGGAAAGCAAGGGTCAAGAGACAAGGGAGCCGTGAGTTCAGGGCTTAGGAGTGGAAACCTAGAAGTCTCACACTGGTTCTTTCAAGCAGATCACTTTCTCCTATTGGGCAACTTGCATATTTTGTTCTTGAACAGAAGAAAAAGTGCTGGAATGATATATGTTTATATTGTCATGCTTCCAGCATGCAAAGCTCCTTAAGCATGTTTTCATGGTATTGGCACTTCCTATGCTAGATGACATTTGCATCGATTTGTCTGCTCACTCCAGCATCTGAACTATGAGAAAATCAGGCATGTGGTACTTCAGAAGGTGACTCCTATTTAGCACAGCTACATAATTACACCTTCACCTTCTAAAGAAACATCGGCATACTACTGATGAGGCTGCTGTAGCAGTATGATCCTTGAACAGAGAAGGAACATGTTAATGACACTGTGCACTGTTGTTCATTCTTCAGCAAGGTGCTTCTCTGCCCTTACACTAATAGTAACAGCCAGACCTAGTGCTTGGATTGCTTCCTAACAATCCCAGTACTTCAAAACTGGAAACTGAACTCTGCACAAAACAAATGGGCAACTCTTGAGTCTGAAAGCTAAAGTCATTCTGTCAGAAGGTGGGGTGGGTTTGTGTGGTTTTTCTTTGTGTTTTTTTGGGGCAACACATTACAGCTTTTTCACTGTCAAAAACCTGGTAAGAGTCTTCCTCCCAGTCACAAGGAATCAAGTTAGTGGATCCTCAAAACTGACTGTGTCTCTCTTAATAATCACTGTACTCATATTCCTGATTAGGATCAAAGTCCAAGTAAGAAAGTTTAGCTTAAACTACATTTAAAAAACGTTAACTTCATAGACTCAGCTTGCAATCATATGGACATACTCTCAGTTGCTGCTACCTAGTATTTGAATTAAATGCAATACCCAGTCTTTTGTAGTATTTTTTTTTTTGGCACTCAGCCTATCAGAAACATCACAAGAACTTCTGAGCTAACTGTTTCGCCCTCTTTGGCCAAAAGTAAACCTATCTCAGAAATAAGGGCAATCTAAAAACAACTGGCTGCAGATGGAGGGGGTGGTTCAGTTGGCATGGACTGACAGCCATCGGATTGAACAGGAGAGGACCTCACCCGTCACACCTCCTGAAAAGCAAACAGCCGAGCGCTTCAGAAGGACAGTGATGTTTGCTCAAAGGCAATCCCTCACCAAAAACTGCTTAGCAGAGCTTTTACAAAACTAATTTCACAAAGGCAAAAGTGCAAGGGGGAGCGTATGAGACGAGAAGAGGCGATTTGCTGAGGGGCGATAGGTGCGTGGAGGATTGTGTACAGACAGTTGGGTAACCCTGACCCCCCACCCCTCGCGTCCCTTTCCCCCCCCGAAACACGCGAAGGGGCTCCTGGAGGTTGTTCTGGTCGGTCTTCCCGCGCTCGGTCTCGTTTCCCGAGGGCAGCTCCGGGAAGGCACGGTTCCCAGCCCTCCTCTGCCAGGGCCCTGAAGGGAAACGGGACGCGAAGAAGCCCCGACACCACGCTCCCCCCTCCCCGGGCCGCTCTGCCCTCAGCGCCCCGTCCCGCCGTTACCTTCTCAGCCTGGGCGAGGTAGAGCCAGAGGCGGCGCCAGGTGCCGAACTTCTTCCTCTCGCTGAAGTTGTAGCCCATCTCGGCGCTGGCGTACCGCGACACCAGCGGGGAGCGGTATCGCGCCATCACGTCCTCCTCCTCTCCGGGGGCCGCCATGGCAGCGTCTGCGGCGCAGGTCGATCGCGGGCACCCGGCACAGCACCCGGGCAGCGGGGTATAAGGGCGAGCGGCGGCCCCGCCCCGCGCCCTGAGCCGGCCCCGCTCCCGCCGCCATGGCGGGCCCGGCTCGGTCGCTCGGCGCCCCCTGGCGCTCGGAGGCCGCCGCGCCGTGAGGGGCCCCGAGATGGCCGCGGCTGAGGGACACGCGCAGGGGACACAAAACGTGAAGAAAATACGAGCTTTAAATGCTTAGCAGCCAAACACATTTATTAGTCTTTTTTTTTTTTTTTCCAGGAACCCAAAAATAGTTTGTAGTTATAATGTAAGCAACTGAGTTGCACATAATACAATCATATCTTTCAAAAAAAAATTAAAATAAAAACGAAAAAAGCTGTTTAAAAGCCCAAAAAAAAACCTTCAGAAAACTTATATAAGTATTACACCATCTCTCAGTTTCAATGAAATGACGACGACTTAATTCCTTATTACTCTTAACTTGTCACACTCCAATAAAACATCACCCTTTTTTTTCTTTTCTTTTTTTTTTTCTAAATCCAGCATGAGAAATACAGTACCTGCTATGGCAAAAATACACAAAAAATGCAACATTTCAGCTTATTTGTACATTAGTAGAGTTTAAACATCTTATTGGTTTTTTTTCTTTTTAAGTGAACCAGTGATCTTAAGTACCACTATACTAAAAGTAAAATAAAAATATAGAAAAGGAGGAAAAGGGGGGCAGCCAGCCATACAAGAGCACCTTCTAAAGTGCTGAGTTTCTGTGTCCATGGAAAACCCTTAGGAAGTTTAAACATGTCTTGAGAATGTGGGATGGAAATTAAGATGAAACCTGGATATGCAAGACATTGTGTCATCTCCTCTACATTCTCCCCACTTGTCCTGTAATTTTCTTTACTACACACTACAGTAGGAGGGGGGAAACCAGAACTAAGGTGAGAGTTTAGTAAAGAAAGCCATTTCAAGTATAAGAAAAAAAATAAACACTTACAGGTAACTTGCAAATAGCATCAATATACACACAGCCACTATTTTTATTATTACAATGTCTGCTTCTGGGGGACAGTGTTTCAGGCAAGAGGACTTTAGCTGTACCTTCCTGTTACCTATTTATGTGCAAAGTAGAAAAGCTGCCTTTTCTAATCCAGCCATATTGGACATCATCGATTTTCTGTTCTGCCACTTCATTCCTCCATTTAGTAAGGAGAGAGGAAGGTGGCATTATTTTACCAAGAAGACTAGATGAAATGAATCTATTTCTCCATTTCCCGTCCAGACACACCCTTCTCTCATTACTTTTTGCAATGAAGAGAAACTCTCTTAACTCCTGATGCCCACCAGTAGCCAGTTTCCTGAACAGGTAGAAGGCATTTACCTTTGTAAACATAATCCCTTATGTTTGTGGAACTCAAAGCAGCATCTCGTATCTCCAGCCAAGTGGTGGAGATGAAAATAGATCAGAACGCTCCCCTGTCACTGCTTTTCCTCCTCCCCTTCCCTCCCCCGTCCCCAGAAAGATTAGATTTGGTTACTTTTGTTAGAAGGTGGGAGTTTTTTGGTTCTTTGGGGAAAACACTTAGCATTTCACTCCAAGTAAACATTACAGAATTACCATCAGAGTCATACTGCTGTTTGTTCTGCTTTCTAGATGACAAAGAAAAAGCACTGTGCATCAGATGTTCTGTGTGTTTTAGAGCAGGTGTGGCAAAAATCTAAGATACAGATGTGTGTAAATCCCACAGATGCACATGCATCATTTCAGCTTCTTTCTCTGCAGAATCACTGTTTACACTTCATCTTGATTACTGGCAAAGATGGAGAGGGTGGCACAGGGCAACAATGGAGAGATGTTCCTAAGGCCACGGGGAGAAATGCAGGACAGAGAGGACCAGGGAGTGTCAGACAGAAAGGTTGCAGGTATAGAAACCATATTCTTGGTATATCAAATGCCAAATTCCAAAAGGCATGGGCTCATATGCACATCCCTGAGACGCACATCCAAGAAAGAAGAAGCAGCGACCACGTGATTGAGAGGGGAGAAAGTAGCAGAGGTTCCCTGACAGCTGTGGGATTTACCCAATGAAGACCTCTTCCCCCACCACTCTCCCAGAGACATTCTGGGAGAGCTGTAAGGCATATACACAAGCAGCATCTACTATCATTCCCTCTGTTCCTACGTTTTATTGGCAGGTGATGGCTTCTGTATATTGTGGACAAGAAGAGACACTGCATTTGAAGTGTGACTGGTAACACACTGAAATTAACTCAGGGAAGGAAACAGAAAGCTACTCTGCCCTTTGTCCCTGGAGCAGCAGCATAAAGGAGCAAGGTTCTTCATCTTACAGTCCCCTCTCTGAAACTACACCCACCACCTCCCCTTCATGATGGCAGGATAAGATGTGTCTATCTGAAAGATGACATTACCAAAAATGCTATTCAATAGCAGGGAAAAGTACACAAACTTATTCTGATTTGGTGATCTGGTGAAAGAAGCAGCAAGCTTAAAGTACTTCAGTTTTGAAGCTTGTAGACATGTGACCTGTAGCAACACTGGCACAACTATATAAAAAAGAGCAGTAGAAGGAAATAGGCATAAAGGAGGAGGAGTTTGAATAACTGAATCTCCATCAACTTCTATAATTTAGGATCTGAGTGTTTGATGGCTTTAACAATTAAGAGAAGAAAGGGTTATCTCCCTCCACACAAGCAAACAATGTGAAAAGAACGAGCAAAACTTGCTGTGAAAACCTCATAATACTTCTATCATGCTTTTTTCTTTAAAGCATTTTACAAACATTACTAGTTGATCCTCACAAAACCCCTGTGAGGTAGGTAAGTATTATTAACAACCCCGCTTTACAGATGAAAAAACAAAGGCAAAGTAGTTAAATGATTTGCCCAAGGCAAGGGAGGAGTAATGGCCAATGTTAGAATTCAGGAGTTCCAGGCTTTGAGTCCTGTGCTCTAAACCACAAGTTCAAACATCTTTTTAGAAAGGAGATAACAGATGGAAATAAAAGTCCAACAAGTATAGAAGAAAAGATTAAAAAGTTTACATTAGAAGGAAGTGTACCACGAGGTATCTTAGTGAGTGATTTTAAACTTCAGATTTTTTTTTTCCTTTTGTTTTTTTTTTTAAAGGCAAGCTGACAGAGTGGAACCCTGATAAGATCACATCTGCAAGGCAGGCACAGATGCGAGAGGGATCATCAAGTCTATTACTTATTACAGTACTGTGAATGTCAACAAAAATAACATTGCTGCATGAAAACACTGAATACAGGCAGGATAATCTGTTTATGATATTACACCTAAGATAATGCCAAGGATAATGCAGGTACCATGGTTCACCATGGACAAAAGAAAAAGTCAAGTCAAAAGGTCCCTATTACAATAACAGAGAGGGCAATGAGATCTGCATTTTTCTGAGGAGACTGCTCCTGGAAACTCAGCAAGCTTCAAGGAACATACATAATCCACAATGAGTGCATTTTGGAGATATGAGGAGGTAAATCCTTTTTTAATGACCATTATGACATCACCTCTTAGTAAAAATAGGATAACTTCTTTTAAATAGAGAGGACCTGGTCTACATGTCAATCTACCTTCCCTAGAATTTCACACACTGCCAACATTAATGCTAAGTCAGTAGCAGTAACATCAGATAACAAAGCACTGGTAGCTACTGATGTTGGAAAAAATGCAGTCCTCATAGTAGGGCTTTGATCAGCACTAGGAAGTAAGTACCATCTCCACCATTTTGTCCACAGCTGTGCCGTCACTGTATGAGCTGTGCCAGAAACAGCAGCAAAGAAAACTTTAGGGAAAAGGAAGTGTAGATATCGAGGACCAGCTATGTTCCAATTCTCCTGGAAGAGCACAAGGACTGCTGCGATGGAAAACTAGCAGTAAATTGGAAAAAGACAGTGCCCATGGCACCATGTTTCCTGAGCTTAGCAAGGGCCAGAACACAGGAGGCGGTAGACAGTTCCCCAGGTAGAGCTGGTGTCCCACTCACCCTTTCGGCCCTGGGTTAACACTGCGTGGCAAGAATTCACATCCCTGTGCAAGGCTGAGAGCTGATTTTGTTTTGCACTCAACGTTAGTTTTTCAAATCTCTGCTCAGTTACCTATTGGCCAATGTCTGACAAAGAGAGGTTCTTATAAATTCCTTCTTATTTCAAAGTCATCACCTCCCCACTTCCCCAAACTATAATGGATATACCATGGACACAGAAACTCCTGAACAGTTTAGCAAAGTATCTTTGTCCCCTACACCCCCTTTGCAGAATGCATAGTTTACAATTCACTTACAAAATAAAGAAGCAATGCTGACCACATATGGGACCTTTTTTTTTTTTTTTGAAAAAAGAACAAACAACCTCTTCTTAAGTTCAGTATCAAAATTCACATTTGCATAATAATACATTTCAAGGCCATTAGAGAGGAATGAGAGCGAAGCAAAGAAAACTGCAGAGTCTCTCCTCTCTTTGTCTTCCTGAATAGAGCTGAGGGATCCCACTGGAGTTTCTTTTCAGGGTGGGAATTAGGAAGGGCTACAACAACAGCTCTTGATCTTGCACACCTCGTGTTTTGGGTGGGACGAAGAGGTGAATTATTAGAGAAAAAAAAAACAAATGGAAGGAGACACTGCAGATTCCCATGTTTAGCTACAAACAGCTTTGAAGAAACAAAAAATTACTTCAGATTTTTTTCCTTTTAAACACTTCTACCTCACCATTTCAAAAACTCTTTTTTTTTCTTCTTGTGTAATACCCTGTTCATTTAAATGGCAACATTAAGTGTGCTGGAAGTTGAAGGTTGAAAAAAAACTTTTCCTGTTTTGCTTATCAGGACTCGGGCAGAGAGGGTAAAAGTGTGCCTGCACCCACTATTAAACAGAAGCTACAAAACATCATCTTCTCTACATGTATAAATTTGTCTCAAACATCACTGTGTTTCAATTCTCCAGTGCTTACAAAAAAACAAAGCTACACACACTCACACTCATGCACACAAACATAAAGAGAAGCCACATAATACATATACAAACTCAACCTGCAACGGCAGACTAGCCTAAAACTATCAACAGCTTCTGTGCATCACATGACATCCCTTTGCACCCCCCACCCCAATCTCTACCACATATGAATACGTATTGTGCAGTGTAGAGACCAGCCCAAAGATGATGCTTGTCAAAAGGGACCAGTGGGCTGCAATCTCGATGTCTGACCTCTTGAAAGAATAAATTGACCATTGTCTCCCCTCCAGCCCAAGTGGTCTCCTCAATTAGACAGTCACTATACTCACAAAGGCACATTCATAAATACCACATTTAACTTACTGCTTGTAAAAACACAGGAGGAAAATGTTAAGCGCTTATACCCTGACCCATTCCTACTGACCCAGCAAGAAGTATCACAATAACGTATCACTTGGTGAGACCTTACTCCACCTTTAGAAGGTACATAATAAAGAAGTCTTCCAACACCTCTTTTAATTTTTTTTTTGCATAAATGAATGCTTTTTTTGTTTTTGGCTTACATATTTTGGAATACAGCACACTCACTATAAAGCTCTGTTGTAAGGCTACCCCCTAAAGTAAGGCTGTTCTACCTTGGCTTGCATTTTCACTTCATTTTGCTTCTTCTCCACACGTTCCCAAAACAAAACAAAAAAACCCACACAAGCGCCTTATATAGAAAGGGTAAGCCATATCTGGCAGGGAGAGGGAGGGGAAAGAAAGCACATAATATCAATAACCATGCCACTAAAATAGCTATTCTAACAAGCTGTGCAACCTGCTCAACAGTAAATGATAAAGAAAATGTTCACTTCTGGTTGGTTGTGTTTCATCTGAAACAGGAGGAGCTACCACTTTCAATTAAAAAAAGCCCCAAACTTAAAAAAATGAGGAAGTTAGTTCTGCGAATGTAACAACACACACCAATACCCAAGAAGAGGCATTTCTTGCCAAGCAGTGCCTCCTTGTATCGCGCATTCATGCAAAATTCTCCAGTCTCTTCCCCTCCGCCCACCACAGTCAAGAATGTTTGCTGCAAAAATACTTCAATACTTAACGCTGGCTGGCACAATGCATTCTTCCCTTTTTTTTTCTTTTTCTTTTTCCCTGGAGTGCTCTGTATTAATTTACAGAAAGGTTGTCAGAGTCAAGTCAAAAAACTCCCTTTCTCGCTACAAAGTTAACAGGAACCCTAAACTGCTGCATGTTACCAGTCTCAACTGTCACACATACAGGGCAAAAATGGCTCTTTTGCAGAGGGCACTTGATTTGCTAGAAGCTTGCTTATATAGCACAGGACTCTGGGAGACTTCTAGAGAAAAGCTTTCCTGCATAGCTTGATGAAAAGCAACACGCAAGCAAACCATGGATGCAAACGGTTGTTGTATGCTGCGTGCCACAGATGAAACGGCATCTATTGTGGCCTGATAAGTTTTAAAAATAGGCTCCAAACCACCAGGAGCTGTGGTGCTTTTTGTAGCACAGATGAAACCTTAAATCACTTTTCATATAAGCATTAGAAGCTATAGTTACTACATCACAAAGTTAAAAGTCACTAACACCACAGAAGAGAGAGCTATATTTTAAACAGGACCCTGACTCAGTTTTAACAGCAACGTAGACAGACCCTTGAAGTAGGCAAAGTTCTGCTTTGTGAGTCATCACAAAATGGACCTGCTTCCTATTATCTACTGCAGGGGAAACTTTGGTAAAATTCAGCAACACTGGTATTTACAGTGATGGGACACTTAGGCAAAACATTGTGAAGGACATGAACTAGCAAGGTTGCTAAAAGTCTCCAGTTCAGCTCCTGTTGTATAATCCAACCAACAGCTCAGCTACAGCATAATTGTTGCTCTGTGTTTTAGGTTTGGATGTGAATTCAGGACAACAGGGAAAACCAGCTCTGTCTACATTGGGAAACTTCACGTACCTCTTCCCATTACTGTTAACATTCTTCTGCCACAAGTGGAAGCCTAGTACTGGAGGTGAAGGGAAAGAAACAGTGTGGGTTTTAGATATCTGTCTTTTGATCGCAGTGGGAATGACTGATACGATCTAACAGTATCAGTTCCTACAACTGCAAAATAGCGGCAAATAAACTACAGAACTGAAATGATATTTTGTGCAAAATCAATTCAGACAAACCAACAGATTCTGTGTATGTTGCTTCACATTCAGGGCCAAAGTTGCATTTTAACGGCATTTGTTTGTCGTTTTTTTTCAGAATTAATTTCAACATAGTTATCTTGGTATTACCTTCCTGCCCACAAAGCATGCATGCATATTTACAATTAAGAAAGCTGCTTCTGTTAAGGGAACCTTACATCTTTAGAAAGAAAAACTATCTTTTACTCAATCAGGACTCGTACCCTGAGATGCTAACCATCCTCCACAAAACCTGCATTTCGAACCACTTGAGAAACCTGGATACTAAAGTCACGTGATTTACAGTGAATGTGATATATGCAACACAGATGTTTGCTGCACTGGAAATACAACAGGTCCTCATCTGCTACCTTGGCCCTGATCCAGCTAAGGTTTATTTATACAAAGAGCCCTTACTCGAGCAGTATGCATTTAAGGTCAGTAGGACTAATTCACACGAGGATCACTCCTGATTTCCTGGACCAGACTTGGTCAAATTCGGGTACCTCAGATACACAAACAGCGCTCCTCTTAAAGTCAACAGGAAAACAGTATGCGCAAACAGAATCAGAAACCTAAGAGTTAAACATAATAAAGAATGAACCAAAAAAACAACCAAACCAAGAAAAACCCCTGCAGTACTATTTGGATATGTATTTAGACAAATTGGAATATGTGGCAACATTTTTAGGAGAAAATATACAACAAAAGTTTTAAGGAATAAATGCTTAGAAATTTCATGGTGGGGAAAAAAAAAAAAAGAGACCAACTTAATATAAATGTTTAATTGTTATTTAATCTTTGAGGTGCTTATACCACCCAGTTTGTTGAAAATATCCTGTTTATATTGTAGAGGTAAAAACATACTTGGCTTAACATTCTTGTTCATTACACAAGCCACTTAATGTGAAGCACAATGAAAAAATTTGTAAGAAAAACCTGACACCCTGTGATTGTAAAAAAACCCCAAACCAACAAAAAACCCACTCTCACGACTGCTGGGCACGTGTCCAGGCAGAAACATAAAAACACTGGGAAAAGATGGTAATTCTTCCAAAGTAAATGTCAGAGGTCTCAACACAGGTTTCTGAGCTGTACCCCTTTTTTTTTTTCTCCCCCTCGCTAGACTTAAGTTGTCACTGCTAAAATGAAATCCTCAAATGGAGTAAAAAATTATCAAACAATAAAAAACTCTCAGCTTGATAGACACTGAAGGGTAGGGTAAGCAAAGTGGCTGGATTTTTATCTGGAAGGAGATGCCCGTAGTCTATTCCAAGCTGTGCTTTCCCCAGCCTCTTTCCCCTACCTCCCCAATACGTTTAAACAAGACACTGCCACTGATTCCCTCCCTGGAACAGTTTTGTAAAACCCAAAAGTACCCTACCATCAATTCCTGCTGACTTTTTGCTGTTATGAGCTCAAATGGTAGCAGAATTTTTACAACATTAAGCAATGGTTGTCCCCAGCAGACAAGTTTGGTTAGCAGAATGCTCAGACAGCACTTGTAATAGCATGGTTAGGAGTGCCATGACTAAGCCATACAAATCTGTCAACTATAGCTGGAAAACAGCAAGATTAATGTTACTTTAACAATTTAGGGAAACTGTCACTGAGGAGACAGTCACTAACGCTTACAGGACTGCACATTTAGGAAAGGAGGAGCAGACTGTTGTACTACAATAGGTTTGGACCCAGCAGACTGCTGAAACTCCAGACTGTCAACCCTTCAGCACTCAGTCACAACCCACTTCAAAGTCAATGTCAAGTCTGTTGGCTTTTTGTTTTATTAAATTTTATGGTTTCTTCTGTTTTAGGACACTGCTGATTTGATAAAACACAGCTCTGGCAAAGCACTCAAATTCTCTCCGTAAAACAAACAAAAAAATAAAATCCCAAAGTTCCTAAGTAAACCCTCCTTCTACTGGCCCATGACAGGATTTTAAAGCACATTATTATTACTACTGATGCATTATTTTCAATAGACTCACATGCACACGCAGCACAACATGAAAACACTGGGCAACTGCTATGAAAAAGAATTTGGCATCTGATTTCTTTAATAATAAAATTACTACTAAGTAACTCATTGCACAACATGCTTATGCAGCATGTTTTTCTTCCTTAAGAAGGGGTACATCTATTTCCATGAAGTGGCTATACTGCCTCACTTTGCCTCATCTTCCCTCCCTTCCCCTACTGTAGGGCATGTGGGTGCATGTAAAAAGGCACTAGCGCGGTTTCTGTGGTTTGAGCCTGGCCGTTTCAGCCCCTGACCCTTAGAGCTGGGAAACAGAAGTTGGCCATCCCAACGCTGAACTCTGAAGTTCAAGACTGTAAGCCCTGACAGCCAGCAGCAACAGGGTGAACAGAGGAGTTTAACAGGTATTTCCCTCATATAAAATAAAACAAAGACTGGGAGGAGGGGTGGGTGAAGAAAAGCAAGCAGCAGATCTCCAAGTGTGGAATAAAACTGACCAAATAGCTGAAAACAGCAAAGTTGATTTCCAATGTACATTGTACTGGAGTTTTTCATATTTTTTTTTCTGTACTGAAAAAGGCAGGATAATAAACCTACTTCATTACTCAGTATTCTATCAGCACTGGTTTTCTTTAGCACTACTTAGAAGTGGTTCAAAGAAGCACCATCATGTATTTCCTGCTGGTCCTCCTAACTGAGGACCCTTTCAGTTAAACTATACTGCATTTTAATAAGGTTTATAGTTTCACTTTGCTTTTAAAAAAGGTGCTTAAAGAGTATTTTCATTTAGTTTCAATCAAGAGGGAACAATAGATTTCCATTCACACACTTCTCCATGCAACTGCACACGTCTGCATGAGTAATAAAGCACTATAATGATAACCCTTCTTCTCCCACAACTTGTTTAAGATTGCAATGAATTCCTGTTGCTGATATTGAGAAGTTTTCTTAATGTACTTTAATTTAGAAAGTCTTTAAAATTCTTGATCCCTCGCTTGACAGTAACATTTGGAGATTTTTTCTTTTTCTTTTTTTTTCTTTTTATTTTTTTTTTAGCATTTTTCTTTTAAAGTAAAAACTTTCAAACATTTTGAAGATTCAGGAACTTGTAAAAGTTTATCAACAAGAAACAGCCATCTATCTAGGATAAGGTTAAATAAACCATCTTCAAAAAACTGGCTTCCTACCCTAGAATTCCTGAGAATGCTTGCAAATTTAAAGCAGGAAAATAAAATGTTAAAATAAAAACAAAAACACTGTTAAATGCTCCCAGAGTTAGTCTTCATCTAAAATATATATATGCACTTTTTGGTCTTTTTTTTTTTTTTTTTGTACGTTTTAATTTTTTTCCCTTTAAGCTTACAATGGAAGAACAATTTAGCTTCTCTTTTTAAATATTTCAAATCCCTCATTATGTCTTGTAAACAAGAGGGGCTCTAGCACCCGGCTTTCACCGTAGTATCGCAATGAACTCAACTAGCCCAAAGTGCAGGAAAAGGGACCTTAGGGCAGGTTGGGAGAGAGAAGTGAGGGTGGAACACAGCAATGAACCAGCATGTATAGCAAAATCATGTGACAGAACAGATACTGGCTTGCTCAGGCCAAAGGTGCTTCACTAGGAAGTACTGCTGGCACAGGACTTTTAAGAACCTGGTCTGTGTGTCCGAGCGTGGCTGGTCTTCGAACAGAGACTAGAAACAAAACTTTATGGATGTCTGCACGCAGGGGCCACTAGCTAGATAGCAGGAGTTGAAAGAGAGCACTTCATTTCTTTGTGCATGGTGCGATAGATGAAGGAGGAGACATGATAGGAAAGTATATTTTAAAGGGGCCAGAGTATGCTGCACACTCCAGTTTACTAAACAAATACAAACCTACCTTTTTTACCATGTAACACTTTGCATACAAATCTACAGGCATGTGTATATGCAGCATTTCCCTCAGTCAGTCTTCCTTGTGACATTGGGTTTACATAGAAAGGGCGAATTAAAACAGCCACGTAATTCCCTAGCCCTTCCCTCCCACCCCCAGCACACAGGCACACACACACGCACACCCCCACCCCACCCCCATCCCATTACTTGCATCTGCTTTGCCTTCTCCCCACCAAACCCACATGTAGAGTTAAATGTATCAGACACGGTTATATCCTTCAATGAAAACGCTTAAGAAACAGACTCCCCTATCCTCCCTGCTCCACCAGGTAATAAAGGTCGAGCACTGCTACCTCTGAGGGCTGGAATGGACAGGTATATGCTGGTACAGAATGTCGGCACTTTGTTAGACAGTATAACGGCCAGACAATGCCACATGGAGTCCTAGCACTTATGGAAAAAGTACCGGCATCTCTCTTCCCTCTTCTCCTGGCCCCACCCCCATAAAAGACTTTCTGCTTCATGTCAAGGGATGTGCCTTCAAGTCTGCTACAACTCTTTTCACAACAACAGGTCTTAAAAAGTTTTGTTCCCAGAGCACACACGCACGCACACACTGGCTATCACTGTGGATTATAGGTCACCCCTATCCTGCCCAGAGTACTACTACACTGATGCTAAAAAACCCCAAACCTTTCCTTAAATACAGAAATTAAAAAGCAACAGTACAGAAAAAGTAAAAACAAAAAAACAAAAAGGTGCAATACTTTTTTAAAAAAAAAGTCTTTGCTAGTTATATACCTCCCTAAGCAAAACCACATACACAGGAAAAAACACAACACAGAGAAACAAAAGGAAACCTTTGAAGTACACACTGGTTTAAGAACATTCGTAAGTAAACGTTTCTGTCAGTGATGGTCTGGCGCTGTAATGACACCGAGGCCTGGCACAGGTAACGCTCACCATGAAGGACGCAGGAAGGAGTCAGCTGCATGTGCTTTCAGGAGATGAGGCAGGCCGGCCAGCAGTCTGCTGACACGATTTAGTTTTCTGTCAGTTTTAATACAAGCAGTAAATCAATTGAAAGGCTAATTTGGTTGGGCTGGACTTTCAAGCATTTTGATAGATTCCTCTAAAATGAATATGGGTGCTTATTCAGGTTTGGGGGAGAAAAGAGAAACACTCATTGTTTTTAAAGGTACTGAAGCCTGCAAGAGACTGAATAAGAACATTTGTCTTAGCTGCACAAAAAATGGCAATGTCTTCTTTCCTCCTCTTTTCCCCTTACTGGAAGAAATAAATGGCTTGCATTATATAACAAACATTCTAGGGTTCATTCAGTACAAAACCCCCACATGCAGACATAAATAAAGACACTGCTACTCAAAAGACAACATTGTCTCCCCTCTCACCAAATCCTTTGGATATGGCAGTGTTCTGCTCTACCACAGGGTTAGAACAAGGGCTAGGAAGCAACTATCCACTCCGTATGATCTGCAGACTTGAGATAGCACCCTGCTAAAATGAATTTAAAAAAACCTACCAACAAATTTTAATCCAGCCCAACTGGATTCTGCTTCAGCCACAGGGACTCCACCATGCCTGTCTTGTTTTCAGAATCAAGACATGCAGATGGCCAGCCAGCCCGTAGACCATCAGCAATGCAGCGTTTCAAGATTATATATAGAGAGAAAAAAATGCACACACACAAACATGTGCACACGCACTCACACAGAAACAAGCACACGTGGGCAGTTACATGTGCCAGAACACACTGGTACTTATGAACCAGCCAATCACAAAGTGTTGGTTTTTTTGTTTTGTTTGTTTGTTTTTTTGTTTTGTTTTTTTTTGTGGGTTTTAAAATTTTTAATTTTTTTTTTAGGTTTTTTTTTTAGTTTTTTTTGTTTTTAAAGTGAGGCTCCGTCAAGTCTTTCCCTCCCCCCCATTTCTCTCTTGAACCCCTCCCCTACCCCAACCCAACATGGTAGACCTAAGGACGGAAACACACCCAGTGCAAACAAAGTTAAAAAGCTATTTTTTCAGTATATATGTTTCTTAGCAACAACTTCCGTATAACATGAAAAAGTGAAAAACTAGAAACTAATTTTTTTAATTTTTTCTGTTTAAATTTAAATGGTATGTGTACTTGCTTCACATTGTCTTTCTACGTTGGCGTTCACGATTCAAGTATTTCAAGAGTGATATGTTCTCTTTTTTGGATTCATATTCCAAACGAAAAAACTGAAGTTATATAAGGGAGGCAACTATGTGCTCAGACAGTCTGTCAATGACCCACCTTTTTTTCTTTCTCCATTTTCTTTTTTCCTTTTATAAATGTATTTATTGCAAGTTGAAAAAAACAAAAAGGTCAAGTTAGTGCTGCTGCTGTTCCAAAAAAGGTCACGAGGTCAGAGTTGAAAGTTCTAAGTTCAGATTGAATCCGACCCTCCTCCCAGAAGGTCTCCAGGTAGTAAGGGAGCAGGGCTGCCCATTCTGTGTGGATCCTCTACGCTTGGGACTCCCCACAAGCTTGAAGAATAGTTTGGGGGCCCCCACAATGAAGCGCCAGTGAGATCACCCCCACTGCTGCCACCGCCGCCACCACTGCTCCACTGCCCAAGCCCTGTTGACCCACCAAAGAGATTCAAAGCAGGTCCAACTGGATCTGTCTGGTTCTGTCCTGTCTCCAGGGATTGCCAGCCTGCTGCGGGTGCACTCGGGGTTGCTGCAGGTGTAGGGGGCTGAGCTTGTGCCAGAAAGCGACTAACCTCTTCATCGGTGGCAAACTCAGCCAGGATGGTAGTGTTTCCCAACACACACCTAGAAGACAAGATACATGGCAAGTAAAAAAATTAGAGCCAGAAGTTAAGGGTAAGGGATTCAGAAGCACAGGAACAGTACTATTACGTGCCCAAACCAAAGGAAATATCAGTTACATTGCTATAATTGAACGAACATGGAAAGCTTCAGCTGTTCTTGACAGTGAAACTGATCCTAAACACAAGAACTCCCCATTTTATAAGGGAAAAAAAAACCCCGATACAAAAACTCCAACCCCCTGGCCCAACACTCAGTTATGCCTGCAACAAATCCTTCCTAAATTTAAACTGAGGTCTGGAACATGAACACCAGGAGCAATAAAAGTGCCTAAGTGTAGGCAAAATGGTTAATGCACATATGCCCCCTTTCAAACAGAACAGAGGAAGGATAGGTTTTAAATGCAGGAGATCAGTATAGTTCAAAAGTTTTCATGGAGTTTAGGGGCTTACACCACTGCCCCCCCTAAGATTTTGTCTCAAAACCTCGCTTACATGTGCAGTGCAGTCTGGGCCTTGGCCGCCTCCTGTTTGGTGTTATATCGGATAAGGGCGGTGCCCTGGGTCAGGTTCAGATGGAATGTCAGCAGTGGGCCATGCTGCATGCAGATCGTCCTCAAGGTTGACCCATCAATCTGAGGAAGAACAGCCAAGATAAAACAGATGTTTGTAACTATTTCTCCAAATGTACTTCAGTCCTAGCTTCATCCCAATAATTACAAGATATTTTGCTCTCAGAAAAGAAAACAGGTGAAAGCCATGGGAAGTAAGCAAAGGTGACGGAAGTTAATTTTCAAACAGGAACTGGTATGCCTTGACTTCTCATGATCAGATGGAGTTTGCTTTAGGGAATAATCTGACTTATTCCCATTCAGTTGTAGCTTGAGTCCAGTGTTACCCGCTCTCACCAAGTTTCTTACACTGTCACTATCCTTCCGTTGACAACTTCTCCAGAAGTTATATACAACTTGTACTTAACCACCACCTTCAGTCATCAGAATTTTACCAAAGGAACCAGAGTGTCTCAGTCTCCAGCTCTCTGATTTCAGCAGAATTTAGATAAACATGAAAGGTTTTTGAAAAACTGGAAATATCTCTACAATTAATTTTTTAAAAATTTATTTTAGTGCTTCTTTGTCTTTATGGGTTATGAAACAGTAAGTGACAGAAACAGTGATATTCCTGCCAAACCCACCAATGTTCATTCCTCCTGAACTAATGTTTTCATAGAAGTTGTTGCCTGCATTCCTTCTGCAGCAGCAACAACTTGTTACTTACCTCCAGTAATACCTGCTCTCCCAGGTGTTCTGTACACATAGATTCCATTCCTGGTGTGCCACAGTAATATGCACACAGGAATGGGATCTGTATGTGCAAATACTTAAGGAAGTGCTAATTTCTTCCTTCTCTCTTTCCTCCCTATTATATAATACTACTTCAAATAAGGGAAAAGGAAGTTGTGTGTGGGTACAAATATGGTCAAAGTTAAAACAGAGAACCTTGAAATGACGATACTATTCCTTCCAACCCTAGCCATTCCACGAGTCTATGAATCCACCCTAACCTGTGCGCTTCCTCCTCTATGGTGTACTGACCTACAACGAGTAGAGAATCTGTTATGAAAAGAGACAATTATAATCTGCTTCTGTCTCTTTCCTACTAACGTAACTGCCTCCAAAACATATTCTTCGTCCATTAAATAATTCCTAAAGCAGTATTAAACTCTGTTGCACAAGCCTGACTTAGAACTGTGTCTTCTGTTTCCTTCACATCAAGGAACACAGTGTTTTCTATGAAAGGAGCACAGTTCACCATTTTGGGTGATCTGAAGGAGACTTTAGTTTTATCTTTCACATCAATCTTTTCTTAGACTGTAGAAGCACAATAAATTACCTTGCTGAACAGGGGACTCTGTCTAGACCTTGAGGTTCTCCTGATAATCACAAAGGCTCTTCCCAGCCCTTGAATTCAGGACTAATTGGGAATGCTGAAATCAGGATCTCCACAGAATTCATTCTGAATGGAAGTAAGCTCTGAGAATACTTGCAGAAATAACCTAACTAGACTGCTTTTGGCAGGAGTGTTGGAAAAATTCTGTGGTTTCACTATGGAAACACTAAAGTGAAAACCGGCAGTTACACCAACTGTCTTACTGACAACATCCCAAAGAACAGCTATAAACCATTCCACATTGTAGTCACGCAACTTACCCTCACTTCTAAGAAAAAAACTTTCTGTTCCAATAATTTTTTGTAACTCTTAAGTAAAGAAATGTTTTAATAGTCATGTAGCAAAACCTGAACATCCTAAAGTTAGCTGAAGAGATTACAATAGTAGAAACACATTACATATCTTGACAAATCTGATTTTGCCAGATTTTATTCAAAGAGAAACAACTGAAGAATTCACAAATCCTTGGTAAAGCAAACAAGTTTCCAGAAACAACCACAGAAAATACCTGTGGAGTGAGATTGTGAAGAACCAGCCAGTAGCTAGGACGAACTGAGCCACCATCACTCCAAGTAGATGCTGCAAATTATAAGACAGAGCAATCAAGACAGATTTGATACAAAGAAACACCATCTTTCTTTACAGTTAGGTCTTTCAGTCTCAGAAAAATTCAGTGTTATCAGCCCTGTTAACACATGAAAGCCTAATCTTCAGTCCTGAAAACAAAACTACACCGTTACTCACATTTGACATCAAGATTCATTTTACTAGAGTTACTTTGAGGAGTTTCCCACCCACAGCAAGCATCTAGTCTTGAAAGACCCCATGTAGCAGGTATTCTCTCCTAGCAGCTCTCAGTCCTTTTCACTCATTCCCTGCAGCAGGACTTGAAATTCTACCCTCCACCCACCCCAGTTACTGAGAGCAAATTTCCATTTCAAAAAGGAACTTTTTTCCTTTTACCAGACAACTGCAACTTTCTTTCCTCCAAATCATTAGTGCTGTGAAACATACACTCCTCAGGTCTGATTAACGGTGCTATCAGTTGATTCTTCTCACCAGAGCCAAGCCTTGAGTCCTGTGCCCCCCAGCCCCTGACCGATCGGGGTGCTGTGCTGTTCCATGGAGATGATGGTTTGGGGTTGGTCAGGCCAGGAGGTGGGCGGGGCAGCCCTGTAGTGTTCCTTGAGGAAATATGGTTTTTCCACATCTTGTTGGAGAGATGAGTGGGATTGTGTCCTATGGGATCTGGGGACCACGTTGATTTGTAATCACTGAATTTTGCTAGAAGATTAAAGAAATTGTATGTGTTAGAGAAACTTCGGAGATTAAATAACTGTCCTATCACAGTAAACCTTTTGACCACATTTGTATCAGAGACAAGCATGAAGCATAGAACCATACAGAAGTTAATTTACCATACTGAAAAACCACATGCTATGAGTAAGTCAATCTTCGATTATTTTATATAACCTGACAAAAAGAAATTAATATACCTATATATATATGATAATGTAGAAGATTGCAGTATGTTCCATCATTAATAAGATGAATAGCAACTTTCATATCCACACTACATTTCACCTGAGAACCTCTTACAAGTTTGGGCACCACTGACTTTTAATGAAACTGAATCCTCTTCAGGTACAAATCCTGCAGAGAACTGAAATGAATATTTACCATTTTTGGCCTACTAAGGTAACGTGGAGGTGCCATTTGGAGGTGCCATCTGGTCCTAAAGATCAAAGCTTTCTCATGAATCACAAATCTCACACAATGTTGACAGTACTGTTACAAGAGTAACACATAAAGGTGGCCATTTAGCTGTGTGACAGCTGGACTTTTAAACAATCTTGATAGCCCATTTTTTTACTAGAAACATTACCAGATGATTGTTAGAAGACCAATAGTGGATATCCCTAACAGATTTCAAGAACACTTTATGCAGAGGTTCAATAAAAGAGAAAAGTTAAATGACTCTCCAAAATGTCACTATTTGCCATAAATATTTGGGAGCTCTTCCTAAACCAGTTTTCCTTAAGAAGACAGACTGCAAATTCTCCCACACCTTCTGACACCAAGCGACATTTCAAAAGTCAAAATTCCTTCCTTGAGTAATTTTTTTTAACTTGTTCTGCAATGGGAACCAACAAACACAAGCACAGCGATCTGGGGGAAAAAGTTGTGTCAGGAATGATCTTGATCATGAATTATCTTAATCATAACTCCTGTGTACGTGTGTGAACATATGCATTTAACTTCATTCACTAACAAAAGGTGGTAAATTACTTATTTGAAACAAAGTGTAAAAATTCAGATTTACAATGTGTCAGAGCATCACAAAATAACACATTTGGAAACCAAGACCATAAAGCTTTCAGAAAGAAATAGAAATGTGTTTCAATTTACAGCTATATTTCCATGATGCAGTAACAGTCAGTAGCACGCAGGTTTCAAGCACTAACCCATGAAAGTATATGGAAGTGCTTAAAAACCTGCTTTCACTAGATTTTGTCTTAGAGACAGGTGAATTCTAAACCCTCAGTTCAGATGACCTGCTTTCTGACTGTGCATAGTTTAACAGGATGAACAGAAGATGTTCTGTGGTAGTGGTCTAGTTTTCTCAATTTAATTTTTACTTCAGTAATTTTTTTATCTCTTGGGTCTTTCTTACTTGCTAGACAAAATTTAAGCAAAGGCAAGAGGCTGACACATGCCACTCCTTTGCCCAGGCTGTGAAAGAGAAATCTTTTATGCCACTGGAATGCTGCATACACAAACACTGCTTCATACCAAAGTCAGCACACAAACCAGCAGAAGGAGCACAGTTTTTCTTGAGGACTAAAGAGTATTTTCAACACATTTTGTGAAGATGCTGAGGTAACATCTGAATGCAGCTTTTATTTGGTAAGATGAAAAAAACAAAGTCTGGGCCAGATGTAGCGCTCAGCTCTGCTTGTAACCTCTGCTATTTACACCCAATTCTTCATTTTTAAGTAGTTGTCAAGACAATGTCATCTTCAGGAGAAAACTGATATTTGTAAAAAGTTCAAAATCCAAATGGTTTGTCTGGAGCATTTTACTCTGAAGTGCCTGCAGAAACCATTTTTCACAAGAAAGATTTGGAGACCTTCTCAACAATCTAAGACAGATATCTAAGTTACTATTTATAGGTCAACCATTAAATGCCAGAGGACTGAAAGTCCTCACTCTCCAGGTTTCAGGGAATGATGAGTGTTATAAAAGGCAAGGTAAAAATGTTCCCTTCACAACACTCCCATGTTCTAAAGTTAAAACTAATAAAATTACTCACTTTTACTCATACATACAGGAGAAAGTGTCTTTTAAAAATTATGACAGCCCTGCAACTCTTTCACATGTCAACAGATTGTACACGTGCTGTTTTATTTTTCTTTTTGCATCTGCTGCTTACTGTTACCGTATTTTTTAACTTGCACAATGTGCTGACTTTGGCTGGTGTCGAGTCAATTTTCTTCGCATTACCTCATATGGGGCTGTGTTTTGGATTTGTGCTGGAAACAGTGTTGATAATACAGATGGTTTAGTTACTGCTGAGCAGTGCTCACACAGCATCAAGATCTTTTCTGTTTCTCACATTCCCCCCAGCAGCAAGAAGGATGGGGGTGCACAAGAAGCTGGGAGGGTACACAGCTGGGACAGCTGACCTCAACTGTCCAAAGGGATATTCCATACCATATGGAGTCATGCTCAGCATATAGAGCCGGGGGAAGAAGAAAGAAGGGAATACGTTTGGAGATTTGGTGTCTGTCTTCCCAAAATCACCGTTAGGCCTGATGGACTAAATATTCCAAGTGGAACAACAATGAATGAGTGTAAGCGGAAAACGCTTTGGGTAAGTTTTGGAAACCACATACCTGAAGTGCTATGAACGTTGGTGAAGGAATTGTCAGAGGCACTGTAGGGCCAGGCACCAGGTGAAGGCAGCGAGGTGTTGAGGGAAGAATTAGACCCTATCAAAGAGAAAAGGAGAGAGTAAGCCAATTTCAAGGATATTTCTGGTAATACCATTAAACCTCAAGAGAACCACGACAACACCCAATGCCAAGCTTTCACACGACACACAGCGATGGCGCAAAGGCACACAGCTTCCTTCTTAGTCAAATGAAACAGACTGTTCGCCTGTCACGACCAGAACATCAGAATCATCTCCAGTATCAGAGTGACTCAGATAATCACATACTAAGTTGTTCACTGTTTTACCTGTGGTGTTGTCCCGCAGAAGTTGGTGGTCAGTATCTACAATGGGAGATGTGGCTGTCCCCCCCAGCACACTTCCAGGGGTCACATAGGGGTCAGATTCAGGGTCAATGTTTTGTATACCTTTCCATGGCACTCCCGGTTGGAACTCTGGGACAGGAGGGAAAAAGGAATTAGATGCAATCAGGGAAATGTCCTTTACTAGAAGTAACTGTTGAAGGTATTTTAGGAGGGTAGACAATTGTCTTCTACTCTGTTCCTCAGGAAAAAAGACTACTTTTTCTACTTTTTTGAATTATAATCTATTTCACATTTCTTCCCCCAGCACTAGAGCTCTAGTGTCTGAATACAAGTCTACACTACACACAAAAAAATGGCTCAAGTGCATCCAGTATCCCTTTAACTACTGCTGCTTTACTACATTCAGATGAGGTTTCAAAAGTTTTAATACATCATATATAAGATATATAAGATCAGATTATATATTATAAGATTAGATTCTGCACATGTACTTTGCGTGTGTGCAGAAGCCTTCCCCGAGAAAAGGCTACCTACCTTAAGAGTTTGTAAACACATTTGACACTTCACGCTGTAGGTACACACACACTTTATACATTACCTATCAACACTGAGGTAATGCTAAGGTGAGAAGCCTTGTGGTAAAAGCAACGTATATACTCAATCGACATTCTTCATGCTTCACAGTGAGATAGGATATACTTATCATGCTTTAGTTTCAACTATAGCTCCAGGCATGCCAGAATTTTAAGACAAGAGGATGAACTGTATCAAATACGGACATACAAAAACTCCAGTTACTGTAAGAAAGATCAGTAACCTGGTTCCTTCAGTGAATAAAGTGCTGTGGTCAACTTTGGAAGCAGTGATAAGAAAGTAAAACTGCCAAACACAAAAATAAGTAAAGAAGCTTCATATACTATGTGACAATTTGGGTAAGCATGAGAAGAGTGCCAAGGTGGGAGATTCATCCCCTGCAGATACAAGTCCGGGATATGGAATGGCACCTTTATTCCCAACCTGAAGTTCTGAAATAATTAATGATAGTTTACTTGAGTGTAATTAAAAAATCCATTATTAAAAGTGGGATCCAGGATGTGCTGTCTAGAATGAAACTATGTAGGAATTATCTGGCGTGGAAGGATTTATTTCAGTCACCTTTTTAATGAAGAAGTATAGTCAAGACTGACTTTCACAGACAAATACAGAAGAAAATGTGATACTATGGGTTCAAACAATTGACAGCAAGGGCAGTATTAGACTGTGATAATGCACTGGCAGGAGAATCTCAGAGAAGACACAAGAAATGCCCTACTGAGTCAGAACTGTGGTCCATCTAGTCCAGTATTTTGCTAACAGCAGTAGGAGAGAGACCATTTAGGGACAGAACACAAACCTGGCCACTATCTGTAGACTACTGCCCTCACACTCTCCCAGCATCCACAGTCCTTCTATCTACGATGGCAGAACTACCAAATCTTTTTCCATCATTTTATCCAATCACTGTTTCAGGCTAGTACAGTCTCAAGAAGCTCTAAAAGCAATACAATCCAGAAGTTCACCACTCCTGATGGAAAAAAAAATCTCTCACCTATTTAAAATTTATATCCTCTCAAGTCCAGCATTTACCATGGTCCTAGCATCACAGGATTCACAGAATTACAATTCTGCATTTATCTTGTTCACTCATTTCATGATTTTGTAAACATCAGTTACATCTCCCAATCTTTAGTAATTTAACAAAATAATCCAGGAGGACCAGGTATCAATGCTTCTAACACTATGAGCAATCAGCACTGCATCAAGGAAGGAATCTGCTCAGCTACTGCCAAAATACTGCAATCCCCTGACAAACAGGACCTCCTTAAGGAAGAAGCAATGCAGTTCTTGAGTCTAGTCAAAATATCTTCTCTTTTCAGAGACAAAGAATTCATGAACACAGGTTAAGACCTCGAAATCAGAACTTGCTTAAAAAAGAAAAAAAAAAAAAAAGGAGTCCAAGTCTTGTATTTGTAAAGATTTCTGGGAATTGGTGAGACTGAAAATTAAGTGCATGGTAAACTCTAATCAAAAGGTTAATAAATATACAAACAAGGCTCCAGTGATCAGGCATATTATTGCTTATGAACACATTCACTCATCAAAATAATCCTGGTCTGGAGAAGAGTTTTTCTTGAACTTCAGCATACTGACAAATTTCCAGACTATCCTTTAGGGCTGATAGTTATTCTCATGCACATTCAACCAACTCTGCCTACAGACATGCTGTTTTATTTCCAGACAGTAAAGAAAATATGAAATGCATTTCTCCACTGATATTTGAAAGGTCCTCTCAAAAACTTCAAACATAAGATTATTTTGAGAACCATGTTAGACACATCCAGTTTGCCTGGAGTATATGTCTGAACTGATCTTGAATGGGAAAGTTACAGTCTAGTATTACCTAGGTAAGCAAGTCTGTGTGACATAACCAAAAGACATAGTTCTCACCAACGCAGCAAAACTTGCTCTCACCTCCAGCTGTGATATCAGTTTGATTGGGCACCACTTCATTTATCTTTGGGCTGAACAATACTGCTTTCTTGAACGGCAGAATTTCTGCAGCAGATGGCATTTAGGAGGAAAACGCGAAAGGTGTTGTCAGGGTGAAAGCTGAGTTACCACTGTATTCATTCAAAGGAAAAATGCACCTATTTCAAGAGGTTTTCTCTTGTAAACTCATTTTTGTTAACAACTTATTTTCCAACACTGGGAGGAAAAATTCTATCTCCATGTCAGGAACTGACAGTGGGCCTCATCTACAAGCTTGTCAAGAAGAAGAACCTTGAGTGTAAAGTCATTTTAGGTCTTCATTCTTCATTAAGGGTGTTGATAAGGTAGATCATGTTGTCAGCTAATTCTTCCTGGTCAAGGAAGTCCATAAGGCAGACTGACTATGAGACAGCTCAACTAGCTGATAGTTATGGAACAGTAACTTGTCCCAGTCTATTGACCTCCTAAGAGTGGGATGGCAATACAGGAATAATTGCATAAATGCTACATGCCAAAACCCAGGATCTGTTATGTGAAACCTGCAATCATAGTCTTGGGCTACTCATTTGCACAAGAAATTAGGGACTGTACTGATGATCTCAGTGAAAGTTTATGTTCAGGATTTGTGAACTTCACTTATCCTCTCACAGTCATGAGGTAGTCAGCAACAAAAAATTTTACTGTCACTGACAGTGGGACTACAGGTATCACTAAAGAAGCTCTATGATATATCAACGAGGGGCAAAGAGTAGCTATCCAGCTTCTGTTAACTTCTGTTAACAGCCTTCTGGTACCATGAATCTTGTTAAAGCTTGGAAACATGGCAGAGCTGATCCTCACGTGTCCTGCAACATTCCAAGCAGTGCTGTGTTTCTCATTATTACACAGGGGAATGGTGACTAAAGAAACAAGTTCAGCAACAAGTCTATGAGAGAGGTCTTGTAAAAGATTAAATTTTGGGAGTTTCTGGCATTATAAACAGTAACTCCAGCTCAAGAAGCTCAGAATTTAACATCCACGCTGACAGAAATGTAACATAAATACACCTGTACAGAAGGCAGTGAACAGTATGAAAATTTGTGGGTGTGCAGATGTTTTTGAGATAACTAATTCTCTAACTCAGTTAGCTCCTCAGAAAACAGTGTCTAATTCTGGCAATAAAACGAGGGGTTCCCACATAAAAGGCTTTAACTGCTTTTTCTAGGTTTCCTACAGTGTATCTGTCACACAGATTCCTAGGCTTTCTGGTGCAAGGTCTGTGCTACTGGTTTATCCAAGAGATGTAACCTGGACTTTTGCTTTTTTGTGCTTGAGGGGACACACAGCAGAGGGTTTGCAGTTAGTAATGTTTTCCTGGAATGTGTGTTCCAGACAAGAGAAAACTCAAAGCATCCACTATTTGCTGAACAGCAACCAGTGACTAATCTGTGAAACTTCCAGGACACGACTCTGTTTAAATGAATGCTTTATATAGAAAATTATGTGCATATTCAAATTCATATGTATTTTTCCCTAGATACTTGTGTTTTCTAACAGAAACATAAAATTCTGTCACTGAAACTAGAAAACTTAAAAAGTGTGATACAGCCTGTGATCCCAAAAGCAAAAAACTTCTACCCAATCCACAGGACTGCTGAGCATTACAATGTTCTTCTACCCTTTATGCAACCCATGAGCTAAGGTCAACTGCAATAGTGTGACACACACCATATACGTGTTGTACCAGTAATTCTGGCAAAAGAGACCTGGCAGTCCACAATGGACCCTATTTATAAACAGTTGCCAGAAAAAAAGTTCATGCTACATAAAATACAAAAGGTCAAGAAAATCCTGTTCCCACCATCACCAAAAAAACTTCACTTTCACCTCTTTTGCTTTCTGATTCCACACTATCTATCAGAATTTTTGCATCCCATGTCAGCCTAACATCACACAAATAAAGAATCAGTACAAGAGAAGGGAGCTGATGTTGTGCATTCTGTGAATATGTGTTTTCACAAAAATTTCTGTAAATGTTAAGTCACCAAACTATGGAACATAGGAGTTCACCTAACAAAAACAAAACGCTATTCAGCAAATTCAGCAGTTAGTTCATATTTAGCCTTGAAAGTTTTTTTCTAGAAATTCAACATTTATGTTCTGATTAAATGTGGAAGAAATTTACAAAACAAGATGGGCCAAGCCGAGCAACTATTTCCTTTGAAACTGTTACTTAAGTAAGTATGATGAGGGAAGGTCCCAGCACATCTACTCTAAAGCTAGGACATAACCCCTGCCCTTATATAATACCTGGAGGCCAGCTGGCATTGCTGGATTTACTTCCGATCTTGTTTGTTGGTGGAGATTTGGCAGGTAACCAACTATCACCAGCAGGGCCTGCATGGCTGCCGAGTGGGTCACCCTGAATTATGTCAAACTGGTTGTAGGGCGATCCTCCGCGAGCCTTTCCAGGGGGCACTATTGCACCTGAAGCATTAAAAACATATATTTACACTCAACAAAGGTCAGGATCTTTAGGAGTACGGTAATCAAAACCAAAAAATATTCAAGATGCATACTGGTAAGCAGAGACAGTTTCACCCAAGCTATTTCACCTCTAGTAACATGATACTACAAGGGCTTTCCCAAAATTGCCAGTCTCCTTTCTCACCATTTTTGTGCATATTGGCATCTTGTGAAGCCACAGAGGGCAGCCCTTCCATCATAGTCCACTGCTTAAAGCGCGATTCTGTTCCAGCCTCTTTCCCTCCCACCATGCCATAATCCATGCCACTTGAGCCAAAGCCTGTGAAACAAACAAACAAAACTCCATTGTCATTTGCTGGTTTGTTTTTAAGTATCTTCAAACAGGGAGTCATTGTGATCATAAGAAAGGTAAAAAAAACAACAACAGCAAGGGGTATATGTTTGAGGGGTATCTTCCAAGTAAGTGGATTAGGTCAGTATGCTAAGATAGGCTTTCTTTTTAGGTTTGTCTTCTTGATTCAAAGTTGACACTTGTCATAACCTTTGCTCTAATGCTTATGCATAAATTACTTATTTCTGGATCCAGACATAAGTGAGTAGTACAATTATCATATTCATAGGATAACTACAGGCAATGCACCAAATCTCTTTCCACAGAGCACTTACCTGAACCGTATCCAGGTATTTGCCCTTTGGTCTGTAAATCTGAGAGACCCACATTCAAAGGATTGGGTACCATGCTGTCTAAATGTGGCTTAGGCCCAACAGGGTGGGATGGTGAATGCTTCATGCCAGGCTGCCTCTGCTGCTGCTGCTGCTGGAGGGCACTCACCATACGAGCAAGCTGCAAATGGAAGAGAAAACCAGAGTTCATATATGCTATACTGTAACACAAAATTCCAGTAAACATTAAAAAACAGTGACTTAAAAGAGATCTGAAAGACCCTGCTCTATGGAAAGTGCAGAATGACAAGAGCAGATGACATAACCGTCTTTCTTCACTGCAGACTGCATTTTCCCAGTGCACTTTATACTTCATATGATGGACAAAAACAGTGCCACACCTGTTGCTCCTGCTGTTGTCGCACAGCTTGAGATAACTTTCTCTGGCTCTGTAACAGCTGTTGCTGCTGCTGCTGCTGAAGGAGGAGCTGACATGCCTACAAGAGGGGTGGGAAGAGTGAAAATACAGAGCTCATCAAGGGAAATGGACTTTCCAGGAGCTATTCACTAGAAAATGCCTAGCTCAGAACTTAGGTAAACTGTTTCTCATTCCACTCACTCAAATAAAATGACAATGAATGCACGAGAAGAATACTATATCCTTCACTTGTTTCTCATTAAACATCATGCAACAGAATTACTAGTACTGGCTTTGCTACTATCACTATGACTACAACTAAAAATCAACAAACAACTGCCTTCTCTACCAAGACATTGCTTGGTTAGAATCATCAGGAACCCACTGCAACATCCACAATAACTACACAGGCCTGTTTGGTTTATCTGCTGCCCTCTAGCAGGGCTTCATTACCCTGTACAGCAGACAGGGAATACTTGTACAAAAATAACTCAACATCAATAGAACAAAACAGAACAAACATAAAAATAAAATTCTTTCAGCAGAAAATTTGTAAACAGTCTTATCTCACAAGATTAATAGCTACTTACTAATTGAAACTGGGGAATCTGTGGAAGCTGGCTCAGCATGGCAATCTGTTGTGGAGAAAGCTGGGGGCCCATATTGAAAAGACCAGGATTCAAGCCACTGTTGGGAAACTGTTTGAGCATGGAGGCTGAAACCTGCATGGAAACCAGTTACATATCCTGAAGAAATGCACTGCTATGAGAAAAGATGATGAAGTAGAAATATTTCTATAAAGGAACAAGTATGACACCAATCTTCAATGGTGTTCTGGGAAAGACATTACAGTTTTATTAACACATCACATTTAGACATGCACAGTCTATGACTTGGGCAGAGTGAATACCTCACTTGATTGACAATATACAATATTACATGTGCAGATGCAGACACACACACAAAGGTTCCTCCCCCAACCAATCAGATGCTAGAGACTGCACTAAATGAAAATGCTGATATATATGCAGCTAACTAGTAATCACAGTACTGCATTGTCACATTAAAAATGTACTGCTTGACAAGGGAAGAGAAAGGCATTCAGGCAGTCACTGGAGCAAAGAAACAGTGCCTCACAGGAAGAGTTAATCTCTTTGTACACTGAATAAGTTATAGTAAAAGACAGGAGTAGGTGGAGAAGAATCCCACCATTTCTCCCTGCATTATTTGAGAGTTACAGAAGTAGAATTTAACAGAATCTCAAGAAGAGTTCACCAAGTCCAAAGCAAAAGGTAAACTTGTACATTTGGAGACCCTGAGGTCTTAAGACTGAGCTCTGAAATGTAAATGCAACATGTAGCCCTTCATCAAACCTCTCCTTTGGGGGGGACAGGAAGCACAAGATGAGACTGCTTAAAAAATTAAGCAACCTGTCACACTTAAGAAAAACTTTAAGCTTTCACTTTTTTTTTTTTCCTTTTTAAAAGACTTTGCAAAAGCCTCTGTAAGACACAGGATTCCCAAATCCACTTTGAGGTTTAAAAATACTGGTAAGCGAGCATTTACCATTAACTGCCTTGGAATAAGAAAGAATGCTAATCCTGCATCGAGTTTTAAGTATTTTCAACTATGAATTTTAATTTTTTTATCTTATCTAATTTTTCCATTTCTTAACATCAAGTCAAGACTAAGATAGCTGTAAAAGTAACCTCAGTGATGTGCTCTGAAGGCTGTAGCTCTACTTTTACAAGTAATCAGTTGCTATAAATTCCTTACCTGGGGAGAAAGGAATTGGGGAGGCACTTGCGCCCGGATATTGGGGGAAGGATTTAGTGGCTGCACAGGTGTGTGCATGCCCCTCGATTGTGCTGTGCTGTTTCCAAACAAACCATGATTGCCACCCTACAAAATTAAAGCAGTAATAAGAAGATGAATCTTTCAGGACAATGGATTTCTATGCTAGTAGCTACATATCAATAACAATGAGGCAAGTACGGACTTAAACATTGAGTTCCCTTACAATTACAGAGATGTTTGCTTTAAATCAGTAATATTCTACCTGGGTTAAAGCTTTTGTACTATATTTTTGAGATGCAGGTTCTTTCCTCTTTAACACTGAAGGGTCATGTTTATCTGCTTATTTCAAAGCACATAACACTAACGTTTTAATATTTTGAACTTTACATGTTGGGAAATGGAAACTCAGAGTACAAACAATACACTCAAAAACCCCATTCCACTGGCTTAAAAAGTACGGCAAGACTGTGTCAACTGCATCAAGAATTTTGGGCCACCATTTTCGAGAAGACAGGTACTTTTTCTGAGAAGACTGTTGAGATACCACTCATGAGGCTATTATTTCCTCTGCAGGCCTTTCTTTAAGTGAAATTTGAATTCTAAAATCATATTTAACATTTTCCTTCTCCTGTGAAAACTTCAGCATTCTGGACTAGGGAATTTTTCTTTTCCTTTTTCCCCCTGAGTAAATTGGAAGAAAATTTTCAAGTGAGAAAAAAAAAGTTGTGGTTTTTTTTTCTTCCAGTGATTTATTTTCTAACACTAAAATTCTTGCTGTTTGAGTTATTTTAATGAGAAGTATTTACTGTTTTATAAGCAACTTCTGTAATAAACCCTACTGCACAAAAAAGATTAAAGAAAATTTGGTATTCTGTTTTACAATTTCAGCCTCTGAGCAGACTCTTTTCTTGTAACATCTTTCAAAAAAAGACAAGAAATGTTATGAACAGTCTCCTACACTAACAGTCACACTCTTGCTTCTAAAAGCTGAAGCTCATATTCCAAAGCACCCTTATGTGCCATGACTGTCCTTTCAGTTTCAAGACCCTCAGAACTTCCCATCTCCTGAAGTATATCAGGATGTCTGTAATCCTCAAATACCTGGGGTTCTAAAGAGCACATTTTCCACTCCTCAGCCATCATTCCCTGTTCTCCATCTGCATGCCAGCAAATCTGAGCTGTACCACTGCTGTACCCAACAAATCCATCATTCTTCCAAACAGATTGTGCAGGCCTTCACCAAAACCTTTCCTTCCCTTGTACACCAGGATTTCATAAACTCTGCCTTCCTCTTAACTGTAACACTGTACATCCTCTGCTAGTCTTTTGCTCAAACAGAAGTCTCTCATCCTGCTTCTATACTGGCAGCACTATGGGTTGCCTCATTCATCTGCATCACTCTCCACTTAATGTATCTTCTCCTTCAGAAGCAACTCAAAATGTCATACTAAGCACACAGGAGGATAAACAAAACACCCAAGAGATGAGAGTTTTTATTCTGGGGTCAACTATACATGAAAATTTCTGAGAAATCTTGAAGCTGCAGCTACAATTCCAGTCCTCTTCATAACTTTGTACAGAGTTCTGCACACTGAGACCAAGAACATGCCTGCGAATTTTGGACTTAATCTGATGTTCAACACTGTGTCACACAGAAACAGAAAGACAACACAAAGAAACACCATCATGTTAGGCATGTGACTACGTCAGCTAGACCACTTGCAATAATTAGGTATTATTCTTTCATTTCCTGGTATTCCTGTAACATTTTCTTCTAGCATAATGCAAAATGTAATAGTCAGAAATCCTTCCAAACTGCATTTAGTCACTTCATTCCTTCTGCACCATTCCCCTGTACACAGAACAAAAATATTGCTACTTCAAGAGTTTTTAAAGGCTATTAAATCAATCCTTAGTTTGGGCTGTGGGGAAAGGACAAGGGAACAGGCACAATGCTAAAACCACTGCAAATTTTTACAGGGACATTTCTACATACAAGGTCATTGGGTGGAGTCTGGAAAAATTCAGTGTTGGGGGGTGATGGGGCAAATCAACAGCCTCTAACTGGGTTTTAAACCAGCAATTAAAATAAAGGATGCCACTAACTTCATGACTTCCGAAAAGCACATCAACCTGCTGTTGCACTGTGATTCAGGAAGTAAGAGGCCAACAAAACCAGGCAGGATACATTTTGATGCTAGGAACCAAAGTGGACTGATTCTCAGTGGCCTGATACAGTTCAAATTTCCATTAACAATATAAATTTATTTAGCAGAAAAACAAATGCAAGCAACCAACTAACCAGGATTAAGCCCAGGTTGCAGCCTTATAACAATGTATCTTATAAGGCGGCCTGCTTACTTGTCTAGCAGCGAAGTTTTGGGGACTGAGCCCTGAGCCGATTGCCCCAAGGCCGACGTTGGATAGTGTGGAACCAGAGGGAGACAGCTTGTAGCTGGGAGAAGGGGAGAAGGGAGAGCAGGGAGCCTCATCCCCAAGGCACCCATCTTGATTGGAGAAAGGCAAAGTCAGCTGAAGCAGCAGTTAGCCAACAGCAGGAGTTGGTTAGTGAAGCAACAGAATGTAAGAGGAGAGAAAGAGGGATGGTGAGTGACCAGGAAGAAGCAAAGTTACTTTGTAATAGAAGCTACAAGGACAAAACTTCTGACTCAAATGATCACTTGACAATTACAATTTTGGTCCAAGGAGATAATCAATAAATTCCTAAAGGTTTCTCTTTACAAATACATTTTGAACTCTCATGAAGTTGATTTCTGATAGTGGCTATTATCACTATAGAAACAAACAAATGTTGAATGAATTCCTAATATTAGCGCACACCTACCAACATAATTTGTTAGGAAACACATTAGCTTTGCTAGTGCTATTTATTAATTAGGCCACCAGAGGGAGTCAACAAAACTGCTTTTTGGCCCGTTATACCAAAATGGAGGAGTTAAAAAATTCCTTGACAGTTAACACACCTTCAGAATTTTTAAACCAAATTTAATTTCTGTTTCACATGCGATAGGCTATATTTTAAAAAAACCCCAAACCCTAGAGCATTCTGAATCTATTCGACACTCTCCAATTCATAATGTGAAGCAATTAATATTTGATAACAACGGTGAAAGCTTCTGTTTAAAATCAGCAAGAATATGAAAGGAACGCTACCATAACATACAACAGATGTCACAGAGAAACAGATGTCATACAGAAGCTTACAGTACACGGACATACAGCATAAGGGGTTGTGGAATTTAGAAAGGGTGTTTCCGATAAAAGCCTGACATGAAAGAAGAAAAAAATCTGGAAGACTGTGATTACTTATATTTACTTAGAGCTAAACCATTTTAATTTTTACAGTAGATGACTGTAGTTAGTAGCCAAAAGGATCATCGTGATGAAGTCTATAATAAATTTCATTGCTACCCTTCCATGGAAAAAAAAGTAATTTCCTTCTGTCTACATCAACAGCAGTCTATTCTAGAATAAAAAGCCTTGTTCTCCCCAATTTAGTTTGTCTATTCACACCTGACACCTGTTTTATACACACATTCATTCTACAAACATAACTCTCTCACACCTTTTATTACTGAGCTCATCCAAGGTTCTCAAATTTTGAGTACTTCCAGAGAAGTAGGGTAAAACTAGGACCTTGAACACAGAGGTTGATATTAATTCATCTAAAGATATTTCTCTCACCTTCTCAAAATAAGGCCCACTATCTGTGGTTCCCATGTCTTTGGAATTAGGTGGACGGAACCCAGATCGATCCTTTCTCATCATCTCATTAAAATCCCCGAGATTCATGGTTCGTTTATCTACCTCAAACTTCTTATCTGGGAGACCACCTGTAAGAAAAGAGGAAATTAGTGCAAATAATCTCTACCATTTTTCATGACAGCAGGCTCACAGCCAAAGAAAGTATCTTTAAGATGAGGGTTTAAATTATATCTGTCTCATAATTTAGCATAGTTACAGTTGCTATTAAAAGTGTTGAAAAATTAATGTAGGAAGTTTAATTTATAAGACTGAACAAGCTGGTTTACTTTAGGGTTTAATGTGATGTATTTCTCACAATTTATGTACAGATATAAACATATGCATTTTTACCTAATTATATTAATTTATATATAATTCTCCAAGTCTTCCAAAACTTGCACTGTTATTCATTGATATTCAGTATCTAGAAAGATACCACTGTGTAAGTTTTCCACATATTCTACTTAGACTTTATGGGGTTCGACACTGAGAAATTCCTTGAGATTCTTTGAGAAATTTGGTCACGTGCACATAATTTGATCAAAACTCTCCTGCAGTCATGTGAACTTAACTCTTGAACACAAGAAATCAACTGGTATATCCTAACTTCCAGATAGACAGCCAATCTTCCTCAGTCTGTACACAATGATAACACAAACAGTAACAATGACACTTTTTAAACACCCCCTAAAGTCTGACATTGTTTAGTGAGTAATCTGATGGAGCACAAGGAAGAGATGTCAGTAACAGATGATCAAACTGTAACATACACACTGAACAAGAGATCAACTTTCTCTATAAGCTTATCATCAGCAAGTGCTGACTGAAGGAAGTTTTCAACCTTATACACTGAACTGCTGCCAAGGAACAACTGGTTTTGGTCATATGTGGCACCTGTAAGGTATCGATGCATATTGTTATGCTGAAGTAGATGGAAAATATCTTCATTTTAAAATATGGACATGATAGAATTGAGCTTTACTGGTATTTTTAGTTTTAAAGAATATGGCTTAGTTAGTAGCACAGATGGTCTTTCCAAGAACAGTTTAAAAAACATGTCACCACAATTAACAAGCAAATCTATGACTTTTCCAAAGGAATTTGATGATATCCTACCCTACCACGGACAAAACACTAAGCTTTTATCAAACAGAGCAGAGCGCTAATCACTCTAATACCTTCAAAACACTGTTCCTTCAAAAAGCTTCTCAAATCCAGCATCCCTTCTTTATGTCCAATCACAATCTATTTAAGATTCATAGCTATGCTACTGCCAAGAAGCTACAAAAAACTGACCACTAATTACATGGGGTTTTCTTACTGGCTCAGCTTCCAAAGTTGATCCAGCTTCATCCTCTCAGACACCTTCAACATCATTTATTACAAAATCAGTTGACAAATCACCTACATATCTTGGCTTGTAAATGGAGTCATACTGACCTGGATGAGTTTGTGATTCTATGATCTCTTCCTAACACACCCTGAAAACCTAGAACTGGCTCTGCAAAAGCAGTTATACAGTGTCATGCACAGCATAGTGCTGTCAATGCCTACATCAAACCACCACACAATGCCAGCCATGTACCACCAAAAGGCTCATGTGCTTCAACTCCACTACGGAAGTCCTGTCCGTTAGTTGCTTGAAAAGAAACTGAAAGCGATACAGAGTTGCATCACTATCTGAAATGAAACTGGGTCATTGCCAACACAAGATGACTAAGCCACAGAAACACCCTTCTGTCTCTCCGGTTATCCTGATGATCCAATCAACTACTCAAACATTACTGAATGATGCCTTGTAAAACACACAGAGCATTAAAGAGCACCTTTAAAGGCTTCAAGCACAGATATGCATGTCACTTAGTGCTGAGGCAGCTGCTTGCAGGTAAATTTTGATTACTACAGCTCTACCTTTGGTACCAATAAATATTGGATATTCCCAATAAAATAAGATTATGGTGAGAAAAATCCTGACTACAGCATCACACAGAATGTTACAACAGTGGCAGATGAGGATGTGCTAAAGCTGGTGACAAGAGGGTCAAAAGAACTTTGCCAAAGAAAGTCATAACAAATTCAAAGGTGACTAAATGAGATTAACTCAAGGGGTCAATTCCAACACTCATTTAGGATAGTGTTTCCCACACAGCTCATCACGCTTAAGCCGTGTAGCATTTGCGGTGAGGCTATCGAGAGTGAAAAATCTAGTTCTACTGTGCAGTGACTTGTAATAGCCTGAGGCAGGCAACTGAAGAAATCAATAACAGAAGCTATTTTTTCTTCTCACATCATCTCCAGGTAGCTGTGGTAAATGGGATGTCCTACTGCCAAGAGCTAAAACAGTCCCCTTCCATCAAATGAAAAAGGATTTTCACTTTCTTGAAACAGTAACAATGAATACAAACTACATAGATCATAAACAGTCTTAAAAGGTGTCCCTTCCACAAGTTATAGTTCTGTTCTGTACAGATATACATCCCAATCTTGCATATCAGAATCAGCTGTGTAACTATTCAGTGCTTACAGACAAGAAAGAGGATGCTTTTACTCTGTCTTATTACAAGGAGTGATAAAAGTAAGGATCAAACCCTTCCGAAGTACAGCATGTCATCCTCATAAAAATACTACATGTGATCTTGTATTTCAAATGCATTTAAATTAAAATATACGCACCTACAGACAAGTCCATCTTACTGCCTGGAATGTCGTCAGTTTGACTCTGGGGAGGAAAAAGAAAGAAAAAAAAAATCGAACAATTAATTTCTGACTTCTATGCAATGATGCGAAATATTTCAGAAAGGTGGTATGCAGGAAGGACGTGCTTGTGCCTATGAAAGTTCTACTTTAAACTAAAACTGAATACAAGGATTCCTGATATCACCCTGGACACACCTTGCCTCAACCTACTTTCCTCTAAAGCTGTGTGTGGCATGTTTACCCATATGAAACTAGACATATGAATTCAACAAAGAAAGATGGACACACAACTGCTCTACGAAATGAAGCTCTGTCCTCATGTTCCAGTGGTTGAGTGACAAAACACTGAAAATAGTGGCCAAAATGACAGCTCATCCTCATGACCTGTCACGCCATCAAGTCTCAAATGTGCTGCCAAGTGATTCTTCAGTTGGCAGTAAGGGACAGGGTGTTCCCATAGCTTTCAGAATCATGGACAGTCTAGCAAACTGAATTTGAGCTTGGGAGCCAAAAGACATTACAAACTAATCCTAAACATGTCAGTGACAGCCTGTGCAGCCCTAGACTTCTCACAGAACCTCTGCATTATTATTTTTCGCTAGCTGGCATTACATACTATTCCTGCTTCACAGGATGACAATTGGCACAATATTCTGCAAAGTATTTTACAAATTAGCTTGTCAGAAGTTGCTATTTTTAAAGTACTTCTCTGCAGCTCTGTTTTTTTCTCTATTGTGTGGCTTATTTATTCAGTTTCCCAAACAATCTTTACACATGGATTCCTAACGAGTCCTTTTTGTTCTAAAAAGACCCTGCTGCACAATATTTAAAATGTAAGTAGCCAAGACAGACATAGGGTTGTAAATCTCCTCTTCTGATAGGTGGCTGAGATTCTGAATAAGTAGCCTTGGACTAATCACAGATGTCTAACATTACATCCAGGAGCTGAGGCCTCTACCTTTAGAGCTCTAAACAGCATGCTACGAAAATTAAAATTAAAAAAACCAACCCTACAACAAAACCCCAAAACAACAACAACAACAACAAACAAAAAACCCCAACTGCCCCCCAAAACCCCCCAAAAAACCCCAAACCCCAAAACCACAAGAAACCCTTCCTTTCACCCCTGAACCCATTACTTGCAAGGAAACTGCACTCTCAGAACAACAGCTGTCATGTCATAACGTAATTTTAAGAATCACAGTAGAATTTGTGTTTTTATGAGAAGCCATTCTGAGCCAGCTACTACAGGTATTATAATCAACATGTCAGCACAGAAAATGCAGATAAGTAACTGTGAAACCACTGATCTTTTGACTTATTTAAAGCTTATGCATTTTTTCCCAAAGTTGGACTTTCTATTTAACAAAATTTACTTACCAGCAAGCCCATATTTGAAAACTGTTTGGATAAAGGGTTCATCCATGAATCACTATTTCCTCCTTTTAATGAGCACTGGGAAAAAAAAAAAACAACAACAAAACATTTTTAAGAAGCTTTTTGATTTCTTAAATTCTGTTTTATCCTTGAGATGCACAAGTGTAAAATGAAAATCCTGCTATCAGATTAACCTCCTGAAAAAATTATTTTAGGTATTTGTATGTTTGGAAACATTTACCAAATATTCTGTCTCATACAACTGCTCATTGTTCGGTATATCAAACTGGATGAGCACTCGGTAGAATGTTTATCAAACCTTCAGTTTCAATCTGGAATGCTTTGTGAATGTTGTTTATTTTTCCTCTATTACAGTTTAATATATTCTTTAATCCATTGCACATAGAGGTAGATTTCTTTCTTGGCTTTCTTTCCTTTAGTATGGTGCCTCTTGCAGGGGCACTGTGCTGACCAGGCTGGCTCTCTATTTGGCCTTAGTGTAATTTACAGATTATCGAAACCAAAACTAACACAGTTCAACAATGAAGAAATTTTTCCGGACAGTTGCTTTGGTGGTTAAGATAAAAAAGCTTTAAGTGAGAAAAAACTCCCTAAGGTTAATTTCTGCAAAACAGGAACTGTAAAACTCCCTACCATGTCAAACAGTATTTCCACATCCTAGGAAACTGCTCTGCCCTTGTCTTTTAAGTCTGCCCTACCTATTTGAGGAGAAGTAGACAAAGCACAGTCCTTTTAATATTAACACAGTAAAAACTGTTACTGTACTAGAGAACTTTAATGCAAACAAGCCTTAGAAAAATTTACTCGGGACTACAGCCAAGCTCCTGCTCCTGGTTGAGGCCAAATGTCAATAACAACAAACACAAGACATAAATCCAACAGTCAGTAGAAATAAGAAGCCCATGTGCCAAAGGGACGGTGGAATCCAAACTTCAGCAGGCTATGCAAGAACAACAGCAGCAGCCTAAACAGAACGATGTGTCAGCAAGAGAAGAGAAATAGCCTTGGGATACTTATTTTCATTTAGTAATGGCTCTGCAGCTTACACACCAAAAAAAATTGACACCTACTGGCAGATTTTTTAGTCACAACAGGTGTAATACATTCAAGCAAATCCACAAACCTCACATTTTTTATAGTGCTGTAACAGGCACCTTTCTAATGCTGTAACATATCAGGCAGACTGTTTTCAGACAACGCAGTAGTTATGAATCATTCAAGCACTTTACCTTCATTTGTGTTTTCTTTCCTCCTTGCCCCCAGCTTGTTGAGTTGTGGGAGGAACTGCTTCCCTGAGAGCCTGCTGTGTTCCAGACTCCTCCCTCCTCCTCCTCTTCCCAGCTGGAATGACGTGTTCCTGTCACTGGCCCATCGCTCTCTCCCCAGCCATCTTGCATAGATTTAGAACCTTTAGAAAAAGAAAAAAAAGCTCAAAAGAAGTCTACAATATCATGCAGCTGGTGATGTGACACTGCAAGATCATCTGAATCATCAGAATCCCAAAGGAATAAAAAAAAAAATTCAAAAAAGTGTTTTCACTAACAGCTGTAAAAACTTTTGCATGAATCCCAAAACCCAAGAGGATTTGGTGGTGTGTTCGCATGTCATGTTTTGCAACTATTTTTAAAGAAATGTCAAACCTTTAAAGATGTAATAACACTAAAGACCTCATACAGATACAGTTGCATTTCAAAGGCAACCTTTTATTTTCAAGTGTAAATGAAAGCCTTCAAGCACACTTAAAAAACCAACAGTGCCCAAGACTATGGTTCAGTTGCTTTATCAATTATTTCCTCTATTCCTTCAAACCTTAATACTTCCCTTGCACTGAACTCTTTCACAAAGTAACAGAAACAAGGAACTTTTAGGAACAACAACTAAGCAGAATCTGAAGGAGAGGACCCGACTCTGCTATGCATAATTCCAAAAGTAGTTTAATGTGAATTAAAAAAACTCCTGTACTTGAATCTCTGTTCTTAAAAACGTCACTAAAAAGACTTATTACTTACACTGTTTAAGTATACCAGAAAGCTACAACCATTTCATCCTATCAGTTCACACTTTTCCCAGTTGGCTTCTTTTCTTGCTGGTACTCTCTAGCATTGTCAGGCAATTTAGAATTCTGACCTCTACTGACAAGCCAACAAGAGCCCAATTCCTTATCTTGTCCACTGTCCAACTCTTCTTCCTGCTGTAACTCTTCATTCTGCATATTTATTCCGTTAGCATTTATCTCCTTTAAAAAAGATTTCCATCATCATTATCTTTGTAATAACTCATTCTTCAATTGACTGGGGCTTGAGTGTGGAAATCGGGAATAAGAACATTAACATATATAGCAGAAAATCTGCACATAGAAGTCAGGAACTGTAATCACTCTATCAAGGGGATCTCTACCTTGATCATGCTGAAAACAAGTACAGCAGCATTTCATGGTGGTTTAAGAGCTATCTTAAAATGCATCATAAATAAACCCCCAGATACTTCACAGTAAACATAGCCTTTTAAAGTAGATTTATTTGTGTACCAAAATGAGGGCCGGTAATTAAAAATACTGGTCCAAGTGCAAAAAATCTACCTCTTGACCTTTTCATCATGTTACTTATACAGAAAGGGCTACATTTAAGGATTATGACCGCAGTCAAGAACATAATCTAGAAATATTACATGGGGTAGTCCCTGCAGCTTTAATTTATTTCTGGTGACAGTATTTAAATATACCCTATGATTCCGATTTTACCTACATGACCATAGATTATTTTTCTGCACTGACAACTCTCAGGTTTAAGATTCTTAAACATGAATACAGAGGACAGTGGTGTAAAAAAGGACTTGTCTTCATAACATCTGTTAAATTTTTTGCATTTGTTGAGTGAGGAGGTACCAACAGCTACAGCGACCAAATGAAACTTTCAAGATACGGGCAAAATAATGACATTACAGAAAACTGAATTTATTCCTAATTCTGCCAGGAAATTCCTATGCAGTGTTGGTAGAACTATGTAAATCTGCTTTTTTAAACATATGGATAATGATCTATGCTTCCCTTCTTTGGCTCTTAACTCTTTCTTTTCTAATCACTGCTAGTCTTGGTATCCTGTCCTTACCTCCAACCATAAATTACGCCTTTGCAGGCTCTTTGTTCCAATTTCTTCTGACTTATCCAAGACATTAAATACTGCCCCTTACCCCACTGAATAACACAGCTTTTTTCTTCACTCCTTCTGGGTGCCAATTAGAAAGGAGTTGAGAGAGCAGCCACAGAACACAAGAGAATGAAGATCTCTGCTCTTAACACTACTATGGTAACCTACCATAGCCCAAACTGGAACAGCTATCACAAGGAAACTCTCTATATTTTGCTCCTCTAGAGCTGGGGACAGCTTATGTACAGAACAGCATACGTCTGTTGCAGTTTTTTGCTTATGGTACACGTGCAGATCAGTCAAGAATAAGCAAGTGATCATGCACAGTCTTTAAAGACTATGTTAAGCATTAGCAAATCAACAGAATTTTCACTGGATCAATATTATTTCAGAAGCCCTTATTTTGTTCATATTTAGGTGTCTTTTTACAGGTAAAAGACATCTGTCTAAAAACAGCTTAGCATTCTCAGAAGAGCCAAGTTTGCGTGGCGGGCATGGGAAGCACTACAGCCATCCACAAAAGTTTGTTAAAATGATAACACTAAAGAAGCAAAGCTTTTTGCCTGGTTTTGTTTCATAAATGGCCAAATTATTTAGTTGGGGTGGGAGGAAGGGAGAATGACCCAATAGCATACAATCAACAGAGCACTTCATTTCAAACAATTACATGTTGCAAAAGCAACTTTTTACAGTGGGTATTATCAGTCAAGTTCAGTAACAATTGTGTATTATCAGTAGTTCCTACAGGAAACTTCACATCCCAGTGTCATTGACTTTGGCAGTAACATTGCTTTTGTTTGTCGTTCTTTCCTTAAAAAGACTGAAATAAAAATTGCACAAACAGCTTACATCATGAAGAATAATATCCACAAAAATAAAAGTCTCAATACAGCAAAATTTTAACTTTGAAATAAATTTTCAAGAAATTTCAAGATCTCCTTCATGAAGAACACTGCTGTAGGCATCTAGGTTCAACTATAAATTTCAGTTCTTAATAGTTACAATTTTTCCACACTTACACAATTAAAAAATCCAAAGACAAATTGCATTATCAAAGCATAGATTTGTTTTATATATTGCAATGGCTTCCACAGTGACATTTGTCAGTACTGTGCATTCCTTTTCCTCATATGATCAGAAAAAGTGACCTATCATGTAACAAGTTTATATACCAAGTAACAAGTGGGCAGTCAGAAAAAAAGAGAAAAATACACATTTCCTCACTCAGTGTTTCAGCACTTCCAGAATCAGAGCTGCCCACTAAATTGCTTAGTAAAGAAATTTTTTATTATCTTAAAATACAAAGTTTCAGTCATTTGTAAGCACTTAATCATTCATCCATCAAAACCTTACAATGACATTCAACATTGCTTCTAGGCCTCAGATAACAACTCCTCCAGTATATCAAAAGGCCAAACAATAAAAACCTGCAGGTCCATTGCAAAGAAACTGGTATCTGGCCTATACTCACTAGATTTCATGGCATTCGGGGCGTTGGAAGGTGCATTCCCCCAGCCTGTTGTCGATGCTCCTGTATCATCTACTTCACCCCACCCGGGACTGGTTTCATTTGGCTCACCCCAGGCAGACGTACCATTATCTGGAGCAGGTTGAGTGCTTTTGCTCCAGACTGCACAAAGGAGAGAGAGGTTTCATTACAGACTGTTAAGACAACAAACTATTTACTGCAGTGCAGCACCACGTCATTAATCTACTGCTTCATTCTTTCTGTTGAGATTCCCAGTAGTGTAGGTGCAACAGAATTGACAATCATTCACATCAAGTTTAGAGTGGGCACTGACCTCCAGGGATGAAAAGGAAGAGAATGCTATGATGAGTAATACTCTTCTCGCAGATTAAACATGAACCTCATATCTAATACTGTCCTCCTATCTGTGAACTTCTGTGACTAATTACAAGCATCTAACTCAGGGCTTTTATATACTGAATAAAGAGAAAAGGACATATTCGAAGTACATATGAAACCAAGATAGCATTCTTTTAAGTGTTTTTGAGTCAGAGAAAAGATTACGTAACAGTAACATCTTAATATATTTCTAGGCTATGTAACTTTATCTTGTCCTTACTCCAAAGAAGAAAATATTTTGCTAAGTATTCTTTATCATACAGCAAAGCCAAACTGAACTTAAATAAAAAAGTGAATCACAGACTTGCTCAATTTCAGGTGTTAACTGAGTGTTTCAGAGCAAAAGGTTTTTGACTGAAAGTAAAGAATTTCTCCCCATTTCTCTAATAAATTAATATAAAAAATGTGGTTTAGTCCAGAGAAAAGGAGACTTGGAGGAGACCTTATCCTCCTCTACAACTACCTGAAAGGAGGCTGTAGCCATGTGGGGGTCGGTCTCTTTCCCCAAGTAACAAGAATGAGGACAAGAAGAAACTGCCTCAAGTTGCACCACGGTAGGTTTAGACCAAATATTAGGAAAAGCTTTTCACCAAAAGCATTGGAAAAGGCTGCCCAGGGAAGTGGTTGAGTCACCATCCCTGAACGTATTTAAAAGACCTGTAGATGTGACACTTAGGGAAATGATTTACTGGTAGACTGGGCAGTGCTGGGTTTAAGAACTTTATGGTTGGACTCAAAGGTTTTTGATTCTGCAATTCAACTTCTTTTTTTCAGAGCTCAGACTGAAGACGCAGATTTGTCAGCTAACAAACATCTTTTTTACCGGCAAGCTGACCAGTACTCAGATCACAGTTACTGAGGCACAAGCAGCAGAGGACTGACTGATTCAAATTCTAAAGAAACTTTAAATACAGAACCAAATATTTAAAAAAGAAATTGGTTTTCTCTATAGAATAAAACTATCAGGAATTGTAGGCTACAAGAGTATCTCTTATGCATTACGGTTATATTCGTATACAGGAGTTTAATGAAGAAAGAAACAAGACTAGTACCTGATGCTTGTGATTTGCTAGTCATTGGAGTAGGCAGGCTCTGCTCCCGTGGGGCCTGTCCTCCTTGTGAGTTCTTGTCCCATAGATTCACATTCTTGTAGTTATAACTGCTAGGATCTCCCCATGCTGAAGTGCCATCATCGATATCCATTTTTCGACTGATTGACTGTGGAGAAGGTTCTTCCCAGCCACTAGGCTCCTCCTCTTTGGGGGCAGCTGGCTGTGGTCCGCTGTTCCAGTTCGGGTTTGGAGATCGCCCATTACTTGGAGTTTGGGGCGGTGGACCCCAGGAACCAGAAGACTCCTGCTGTTGCTGCTGGTGCTGTTGCTGCTGCTTGTTCCAGGAGTTGGGCTGTCGACCCGTCTCATTCCACGTTGAAGTTCTTTTACAATCATCCCATCCACCCTTTGAAGCAGCGCTTGTATTTGCACCATTACCCCAAGTTCCAATCTCATTTTGCCCACCTTCACCCCACCCAGACACTGGCTTGTTTCCTGCACTTTCCCAGTTGCTGTTTTTTGTTTGGTCAGCTTCCTCTCCCCAACCGTTCTTTCCAGAAGACCATCCTTGATTAGGTTGCCGTCCACCCCACCCCTGATCCTTACTAGAGCTATCATTCCAAGAGGAAGACGATTTTTCTTCTTGCCTTCCTCCTCCCCAATTAGAAGAATTGGAGTTCTTATAGTCATTCCATCCTCCAGTATTTTTGGGGTCCTTCCACTCTGTTGGGGTTGAGAGCTCACCCCATCCAGACTTGTTTTGATTGCTTTGGCTGGGAACATCGCCCCAGCCCCCTGAGTTCTTTGTCTGTGTGGCAGAGCTCTCCCACCCCTCAGTTCCTTTATCAGACTTCCCCTCGGGCCGTGGCATCTCTTCAATATCCCACACTGTATCTTGTTTAATTTGAGTCTGGCCCCAGCCAGTGTTTGAAAGCACTCGGGGGTCCAAATCAGTCCTGCTCAGCAAAGTCTGCAGGACTGCCTGGCAATCAGGATGCGTAGGCCTATATGATCGGCGTCCAGAATTGTGACTGTCACTACTTCCTGCTTTGTGGTTGCTTCCAGTGCTTTGACCTCCAACCTCACTTCCTGCAGAGCTGGAAGATCTTCCCCAACAGGGAGCCTGGGAATTGCCTTGGTTTTCAGGAAGAGGGTGGCCTTTTTGATTGTCCCATGCTCCAGTGCTAGAATTTGGTTGGTTTGGACCACTCCACTCTCCAATCTTCAGTTCATCAGACCCAGACAGCTGTTTCCATTCTCCCTGAGAGACCCCAGATGTTAATTTGTTCCCTTCACCCCACTTGCTTTCATTTGCATGCTGAGGGCCAAAGTTCCAAGACCCACCACCCGTAGACCGGTTATTGTTATCCCAACAATCACTTCTTGACCCATTAGGTTTTTGAACAGAAGATCCTTTCCAGGAGTCCTCTCTATCCTTTCCATTGTTCCCGTGGTTCCCAGAATTGCTCTGCCCAGAGACTGTGTCAGTTCCAGAAGACGCCCTAGCTGTACCCCAAGATCCAACACTCCCAGTCTTTCTCTCTCCAGTGCTTTGTGAAGGGGTGTCAGTGCTCCTGGAAGGGTTCCCCAAGCCCATTTCAAAGGGCATTCCCTTATTCTCCATAGGGTTTGGTGAACTTAAGTTCAAGGAGTTAGTGTTTCCATTTTTTGGTCCATCAGTGTTATGAATTTGAGCCTGTTCTCTGCCAGAGACAAAGTTAACACCCGCATTTTCCATCTTTGACTGCTGTTCCCTAGAGGTCTGACCTACTGTGCTAATCTGTGCATTGGAGCTACCACTATCAGATTCCAGAGTTCCTTTCCTAGAATTGCCCTCTTGAACCAGTGCCGGCCAAGCAGATGGGTTGCTATTTGGGTTAAAGTTGCTGAAGCCAGAACTGGGACTGATTCTATCTTGTCCACTCAAGTTCCTCCAATTACCTAGTCCGTTGTTACTCTCGGCAGCAGGGTTGGAAGATTGAACAGATTTAGCCTTGGGATCAGATTTCCAGGCCCCAAGATTACATTCGTTTCCAGCGCTTCCAGACTGGCACTGGCTTCCTTTTCCTTTGTTATTAGTGGTGCTTCCTGGCAGAGTGTTCTTCTCCAAGCCAGGGTTCGAGGCACTGTTGTTATCGGTGGTGTTTTCGGAAGAAGACTCAGCATCTTTGCTGGCAATACAAGGCCACTCTTCCATGTCAGACCCGTCTACAATCACCTTGTCCCAGATGTGAGTTGGGTTGGCGTTGGTGCCGCTGTTGGAGGAGGCTCCAGGACCCCAAGTGGAATTTGCATAATTTGAAGCAGCAGCACCTCCAATTGCTGAATCTAAAATAAAAAAAAAACAACCAACAAAATAACACCCAGGGAAATCATTAATAATCAGTATTATTTACAAGTATGGAACATCACCACTGATTAATACTTTCATTAAAAAGAACCCTTCCCTCAAATGCATAACAAAGTTGCTCTGGAAGAACATCAGGCTGGGAAGCATCATGGAAAATACTGACAAAACATTACAACAAACTCCCCAAAAGCATTTTGTGGACATTTGAAATCACCCACTGACTCGCTACTTCTGCCAACAGTCCAGCGTTAAGTTCAACACAGTTAATGAACACTTTTGATACTGGTCGTAGACTTTTCAAATACACGTTTAAAATTATATTATATATAGAACAAGAACGTGTATGCCTATTCATAGGCATGTGTGTGTACACACAGCTGTTGGTTTGCTCCTCAGCTGACTCAAAGCAACTATAATTTATTATAGATCAAATGATAAAAGATTGAAGATGGAAAGCACATATGAATATATGAAACTGAAGAAGTTTATCCTTCAGCTTCAAATATCTTTTTCAAATCGATTTTGCTATCAGTTTTTAGTTTCAACCCTTCACAAAACAAATAAAATTAGTTCCAAAAGCTACTGTACATCAAGAGTCCCAAGCTCTGCAAGTTACAATTTCTATGTAGTATAAACACGCTAGCTATATTCACTATGTAACTGCCCCACATTTTGTCACTGCTTTATTTACCTTAGACACCACAGTATGTGGTTTTATGAGCAGCTAAGCTCATCTCTCTGCCACTGGACAGAGAGGCTAGTAAGAGATCTCACTTTTCTCTCTCAGCAGCTCTCAATTCTTCAAGTTTCACCTCTCATTTGTGATGGCAGTCAAGCCATTTAACTAAGTCAACTGCATTCTCTAACAATGCAAAACTGTCCACTTTTTGACAGGTTAGGTTTTTGCTGGCTTAGCACACTGTATGAGGTAACCTGCAATTTCAATGAACTTTGGAATCACTATAAGGAAATGAACAGAATAAACAACAATATACAGAGCCCCTTTCTTTCATTTGGAGTGAACTATTATTATGTCCTACATGGTATGACATCACATGCACAAGATATTTGTACAGCTTCAAAGAAGACATAAATTAATACAGTGCCACAACAGATGAAGCCTATGTCAGTGCTGACAGCATGATGACTACATGTACGCAGACACATTATCACCATTTTAGTTTAAAACATCAGCCAAGATTCCCTTGCCATCCACATTACTACCTGATACTCTAAATAATTCGAGTCCATTAGAACCTCAGTGTTGTCCTCTATATAGGGTTCCACTCGTTTTTCCTCTATATTTTTAATCCAAGGGATTCTAAACTGCCCTCACAAGTTCCCAGTGATGAAGACTAAACACTCGCCCTCGGTCAAAACCACATACAGAACCATAATATATTATTCAGTTATTCCACTTATTTTGCAGAGTATAGACTCCATATTAACAGCTGCAGCAGCATTCATACCTGGATATATACTGTTACTACCAGTACTGGCTCATATGACAGCTTCCATGCAAGTAAGGCAAACAGCTTAAAAAAAGTGGATAACCCTCCCTGCCTCAATTCCTATGCTATATAATAAAAACTGACAATTTCTGGTTGCAAATACTTTCAATAGAAGATAAGATCAGCTTTCAGTGCCTGTCTGAGGCTTTCAGCTCATTAGCTTAAACAACCAACATCCACTGAATGCCCTCCAGATCCCCCTTCACTGAGAGCTACCAGTAAAGATCTAGACTTTACAGCAAGGTTTGAACTCCCTCATAAGCTCTGAATATTGATGAACAGTAGTTTGTCTTCACCCATTAAACCTCAGTCACCAAGATCCAAAAGACCAAGAAGTTCCCAAGTACGTTCTGTTCCTTCTGTTGCCTTAACCTCAAATGCAAACTTAACAATAGCAAGGAAGTATGACTCTAGTGATATTTATATCCGTCTATCATTTAGCACAGAGTAACCCTTTTTTCTCCTTCCAATTAAAAAAAACTGATTAGAGTGATCACAGGAAGAGCTCAAGAAGAACAACCAAAGACAAGCTCAAAAGACTGCAGGGTTGCTTGCTGTCCACTGTCTTTTGAACTTACAAATGATTCAGCAACTGAATGATGCATGAGCAGCTATGCACTTAACAGGACCTTCAAATCAGTGACTTTAACAGAGCATTTAATTTCTGTGAAAACATTCTAAAAGTATTAAGATTGGGATGCTAACATAGTGTGCTAGATCACAATTTAATGAATTGTTTTATAAAACTAGCATCCCTTTGCTATATTTGACAGTGACATCAAAATTTTGGCACTCTGGTTTTGTTTAAAGATAACGGGCAAGGAATCTTGGTTCTTAAAGGGACTCTTCCTTAATAACAAACATGCTGAAAATGAAGCTTCTGATCTCACTGAAACACAAAAAGTTACTAGCAAATGGCTACTTTTAAGGAGTCCTGAAATCAAGTTGCAATTTTGCTGTTAGAGACGGTGGTGGACCTTAAGAGGAATGTCGTAATTACTGAAAGACTTTCACCAATAAAGTATTTGCTTTTTTGTCCAAAACTTTCTTGCATGTCCTAAATTACTGGTATTAGAAGAACTACACAGAACACGTCACCTCATCCCCTTGTATTGGTACGAGACAATAGTAACCTTGGTGTCATCTTTCAGGGCACTAGTTTTGACATCTTACAGAAGGATTTCAATACTAGTAGAAAAAGATGGATGTAAAGAAGGATTACGTGTTGATCTTTTATATTAAGGCCTCACCAACTCCATCTATGGCCACCTAGTGAATATAAGAACACGAAGGAGTAGGTAAGCTGCATTATCTTCGCCTTTGGGAACCTGCTTTTTCAGGTGGGATGAATTAATCACAGTATCAGTGCATATATGCCTGATTGAATTGGGCCCAACCTGAAATTTAGTTTGTCAACAGGCAGGATCTCAGATGGGATAAATGATGTGCAAGACAGATAGCAATACTGTACTTCCATAAGCACTTTGAGGGAGCACCACAAGCGACAGCCTGGTCTTCTTCTTGCCCAGCTGCTCATTCCCACTCCTCTGGCACGTCATGCTAGCACGTATGTTCCCACTGGCACTCAGTTAGGTGAATTAGTAACAATCAGACTGAAACTGGATTTAAAGAACAACCTGATTTAATTTTAATACAAATCAGCTCCCCAGCCCAGTTATAACTGCATTATAGTGCAGAAACGTGGACGGGGTGAGGCAGGTCTGAAGGACCTGAACCCTTCTGGGCACTCCTGACTTAAATCAGGATAAAGCAACTAACCATTGGCTAATACAGCCATACAACATCTTAGTTGTTAATGCACCATTAACCTAAATATAAAAATATGAGAATTCATAATATAAAATTTCAGCCTCAGGGAAAAAAAAATTAGGTGTCAAATAATCACACAGAACTCCAAAATGGTCCTCATATAGTACACCCAACAGCAAAAAAAATGCTGCTCATGATAAATCTTGAAAACTTTTAGAATGCTTCACTACCACAAATTCTCCTTATTCAGTCTACTACAATCACTGTATACCAAGGTATACAGAAGGTATATCAATGCTAGGACTTCATATATGAAGGAAAGACTTTAGGGTGTGTTTTTTCCCCCCCCCCTCTTCACTTTTAAGGTGATTTATCAAAAGCAGTTATCTCTAAGACATCTGTTTCTAAAGTGATTAGTTAAAACTCTGCCATTATAGTTTGACATTCACTCCGCCCTTTATTAAATAGTGAACAAAGACAAGATAAATAATCTGTCAAGTAGGGATTTGCTACAAAGGAGTTCAAATACTGAAACCACAAAACAAATGGAATTATTAATTTTCCAATAATCCTTTTTAATAAGGACAGCCATCCCATCTAGTGTACTTGATTCCAGAGCTACAAGTTACCTCTGTGTTTTTAATTCTCAGCCACAGAGAACTATAAAAAGTTTATGCTCTCTAAGACTGTGGTAAAAAAAAATCACCATCCCATTCATCTGGCATGATTTTCAAAGGCAAACTCAGACATACTGGTATTGTTATTTTTTTCTTTTTGGCTTTCAGGCATTAAACACCCTTATTATTAAAACTGAAGTTGTCCTTGACTTTTCAGGTCACCTAATTCTCTCCTTTAGAAGGCAGATATCTTGAGTGGAATTTTGTTTTTTCTATTATTATAATTTAAGAAGAAATATTACAGCTGCTGCAATTCCCCAAGGGTATAAAAAATTGAGGAGCAGCCATAACTTCCCCATGCTCATAAGACAATCCTTAAATCAATGAATTTTTTTAAATTCAAAGTGAATGGAAAAGTAAAAACGGGACAGTCGCCATTTGTATAAGAAGGCTTATATAATTAGAAAACACAAGATTACTACTAAAAAAAAAAAAGTCAGGAGGAAAAGGACCATCTTTCTGTTTCATCCAGATCAGAAGTGACAGACATCTGCCCTTCACAGACCTGGCATCTACACGTCTGCTATACCATCTACACAGATGACACAAAAAAATGACAAGATAGGAAATTCATGTAAAGAAACTTAAAGAGCTAATAAGAACTAATCGGTGACAACCATAAAACTGTTTATTCACGCAGCGTGTTTACCTTGCTGGGGATCATTTCCGCCATCCATTAAAACCACGCAAAACATACTTGAAAAAAATTAACACTTTTTCTTGTTCCACCTAGTAGTAAAAATTTTATCAACTGCTGCCAACAGCAAGAGAAGTCAGTACGTTAAAATAGCAAAAGCTTGCTCTCCAAAAGCAATGAGAGGAGTTTCATTATATAATGATATGCCCATGCATAATTTTAGTCATCCCTTTTCTGCGATGCACAAACACTTGCTCATTTAATACTCTTACTGTTACTTGCCTGTTGCAGTCCCACTGTCGCTCTGCAGCAGTGCTCCTGTCACTGGTTGTGCGTTGTTTGGGTTTGCTCCTGGTGCTGTTGGGGGCGGAGGCCCTGCTCCACCCCCAAGGAGCATACAGGATGGCGGAGGGGGCTGCCCACGTTTCAGTAACACTTTGTGGTCCTGCTGGCAACGGAATCGCGGCGGCACCTCCCGAGGCATGTAGCGGGTGGCGCTTGGCGGTTGTCCGTTCGGCACTGCCACCCTTTTGGCATTGTTGCCACCATTGACTGGTGGCGATGGAGAGTTGCCAATTGGGCTGGCAGCCACTGGTTGGCTTAAACTTGGTTTCGTCACTTCGGGCACTGAAAAACAGGGAGAATGAAAATCAGAAGTTTTTCCACTTAAACCTGTGTTAGCTACAAGAACTCGCTGTGACTCTTTCTTTTATTATTTAATTCCTCTCTGAAATATGGTGCAGCTTCAGTCGTATCAACAACCAAGAACAATTTAATAAAAGAAGCAGGAATAAGCAGTAGCAGCAGACTTCAGCTTCCATGTGCAACTCTGTAGTCGAGGATGAAACTGTGCCCTCAGCAAGTATTTCACTCTTAGTCCAAAATTTCTTGCAAATGTAAAGTTGGCAAAGAATACCTCCCTAGACAATGAGTCATTTTAAAATACGAGCAGTCAAATATAACTGGCCCTGCCTCCCCTCTCTGTTCCCTCATCTTCAGCTGGTTTTTGGATTATTACGCATCACTTACTAGACTACACAGCCACTGTCTAAACAAACAAAAGAGGGGAAATAACCCACCTCCTCTTGGATTCAGAGTTAACAATTTTGAGTTCTCTGTACTGCTCTTAAATAAGGCAGTAATAGCTGACTCTTATGCCCAAGGCACTCCTACATACAGTGACTCTACTGGGCTTGTTTTAAGTTTCCCAGCTGGTCACCAGGTGCCCCTATAAGCAAGGACGAGCTGCTTCTGAGGGCTATTAGGTATTGGAGAAGAAGAAAAACATAAACAAATCCTTGAAGTGCTAACACCATCAAAAATTTGCTTAAGAGACTCTAGACTCATGTCCCCTTACACTGTCCACGTGCTTTTTTGAAACACAGTAAAAAATTCTTAGCCAGACACGTAGAAGGTGTTCAGACATCAGACTCCAAAGGCAAGGAAAATTTAATACACCTACTCCAGCCTTTGTGGAAGATTAATATAAGAAAGCATTGTCCAGAACCCCCCCCCCAGTGAAGTAAGAATAATCAGTAAAACTTTTACTCTTTAAACCGTGAGATCAACACAAGTGAGCCTCTCTTTGTCAACATGAATGCATTATTAATCACATTTTATTTTTATACGGGTTTCCTGATTTCTCTATAAAGGTTTCATTGCCCAAACCCCAAAAAGGTATTGTTAGCTGTAAAATCAAGTTATTTTAGTTCTTTTCTGTCAATAATGGCAGTTTTCCCTCACAATTTACAGAAAACTGACATGCAAAACAAGATTAAATATATTTTTACATCAGCTAAGTTGTTTAGTTTAACTTTCAGGATGCTCACGCATCAGTCCTGCCTCATCTGTTGGACTTTTATGTGCTTGAACTTAAGTTTTCAGCAACAAGTAATGTTCACCCTTTTTGGTACCTCACCAGAAGCAGTACTTTCCTTGTCTTTCATTCAATTTATACAGGCAGTTTCAGCTTTCGGTTACTTGCCTAAAACCTTTGCAGAACTAAATATTTCAGCTAACTTATCCACAGTCCTCATTCCTTCTTCATGTATTTTGATGCTGACAACACATGAGCAGAATAGTTTCAGGTTCTCTATTTTAATCACCTTAACTTTCATTTCTTCTGAATACTCATCTTCAGTATTTCATCTTGACTCATAATTCCCCTTCCTTTTTCAAAGTTTTGATCAAGGTCTGAATCTGAGCTCAAGTCAATAAAAGTACTCCTAAGAATCAAAGATTCTTACCTTTGGTTTTTTGATCTGTGACCTGCAAATTAAGAGCAAGAATGTAAATAGAGTTTTCAGAACCTCAAAACAAACACTGAACAGGTTGTGCTAAATCAAAACCTTATTGTATGAGCACAAGAACAATATTTGCAGCAGTCTGTCTCTCTGCCATCTTCCCATTTCACCTTTCCCTTAAAATCTTTTCCAAGAAGAAATCCTAAACCTTACTGGATTCATTGCCACAACTACGAAATGTACCAGTAACACCTATAAAGGAAATCTGTTGAATGCAACAAGAAGTTAATTACTGCAATGAGCATTCATGCTGGCCAACATACCCATTATGGGTTTTGTTGTACTACTACATTGTTTTGGCATAGCGGATTTCAAGCTTGTAGAGACAAACACACCACTGTTATATTCTCTGGAATCATGTGTATTGTAACATGTTTTGAACCTGTCCATCAGGAGTTCCACTGCAGAATAATGAAAAACCCTAAAGATCATCATGTGTCAGGTTCTATGACACCTATTCTTAAAAGAAATTGCTGAACTAGTCCATAATTCTGGAAAGTACACAGTGACAGTATAGCATAATGAAAGCACAAGTAAAAAGCAGTTTATTGTTGAAATCAACGAAGCCAGAACTCCTTTGTATGGTAAAGAATAAAAAGACAAACTGCGCTGAATTGCTAAGGCATCATTTACTTTACAAAGATGAAAACTGAAATACGCAAAGTGGAACATTCACTGTAATAGAAAATCTTAAGCATTGTAACTTCACAGAATTACATAATCCAAAAGTCTCCAAGATCATAAAAACGCATCTATACCAAAACTGCATCTGTAGCAAGCCAGATGTTAATTTTCAACTTCACTTATGAAAAATCCATATATACATAATGGATACATCTTCTTAGACACAGTTAAAAATTCTGCTAAGCACTTATTGACTCTGATGTTGCACTACTAAAGGAAAAGGGAAAAGTTTATTCATTAACACAATCTGGTAATGCTGATGGATTTACTACAGTCAACCATAAGCAGTAAATTAGTAACTTGTCTACTTGGGAAAACCCCATTTTACCAAATCTTTCAAGAATTCTACATGAAAACCACACTTTGATTTCAGAAAAAACCACAAACTACTTCTGCCTATCCTGTATCTCTGTCCTAGTCAAATTGATCTGGCTTTTTCTAAAATTCAAAAGCTGAAAAAATGTGTCACTGTCTCAGAATTACAGCTGTCATCTCTCTGAGGGCAACCTATGAGCATCAGCAGATGAGGAGCAGCTACAGTGAATGAGAAGGTGGAGTCAAGCTCGGCCTTCTGATAAGCTACCAAACAGCCCCCTGGACACCAACCACAGGAATTTAAGCTGTGAATTTGATTGCACAACCCCTCTTGAAGCAATTTTTTAATTTTATTTTATTTTTAAAGTTTCAGATGATCCAGACATAAACAAATGTTTCATGTTATACCAACTCTGTTTGAAAAAGGCACTCCCAAATTGTTGCTGCTTATTTGGTGAACACCTCCACAGTCACTAAGAACAAACATACACATTTATGTCCTGTCCATTCAGTTGCCTGATTTGTTATTCTTAGGTACATCCAAGTATTACTCTTAAGTTTAGCCCCTAGGAGATTAACTTAGTCTTTTTACCCTTCCCAAAGAGTTTGGCAGAATATCATAACATCCAGTAACACTGAGTAACTTAGTAGGAGAGAGACCACACAGGAAAGCTGGCAAATCTTGTATTCAAAGCACCAATTCCTCAGTAAGCACAGCACTGTTATCAAGATGATCAGTACAACCTTTTTAAGTTTCTCTTTTATCATTGAATATCAGCACATAATCCTCAAGTCACTACTCTTTATTCATCAAGGTCTGCCTCCTTCTGGTTCCTACATATACTTTTTTACCTGAACTTTAAATAGCAGCAACACTGAGGCAAAAAGGCACTGAAGAGACCTTATTCTGTAGCTACTGATCTTTTGCACTATTACTGGGAACGTATCAACACAATGACTGCATAAAGACAACCAAACACATCAGTTTATCTGCATCTAATTTAAACTGATAGACTCAAAATGGTGAGAAAGCCAGATTAAAACCACCCTGTATAAGTCAAAATTTAACTGAAGTTGGTGCTGTCTGTTCTCAGCAGAAAACTACAGAATCTGACCTTTTGTAGGATCTGTTCTTACTGAAGCAACTGAGAAACAAACTACAGAAAGAAGTAAAGCCTGCTCTTAATTTCACATAATTGCTGAGGTTGGAAAGGACAGCCTCTGGAAATCTAGTGCACAGTTTCCACTGCTGTTCCCACCCGGCCCCAAGAGTCTCCTCAACTCTGCAAAGTCATCAAAACTAGACTGCACAGGGCCACATTCAACACATTTTTCAGCATTTTCAAAGACAGAGGCACCACAACCTCTCTGGAAAACCTGTTCCAGTGGTTGCCCAGTCACATACATACACAAAAAAAGAAGTCTTTTTATGATTAAGTAGAATTTCAATATATGCATGATGCCTTGTGCTTGTCACTGGGCACCAGTAGAGAACAGTCTGCCTCCATCTTTTTACTCCCTTCCACAAAGTATTTACAGAGGTTGGTAAGATCCCCCAAGCCTTCTCTCCTCCACACTGAACAGTCCTAATACTCTCAGCCCCTCCTCATTTGTAGATACTCCAGTCCCTTAATCATCTTAGGGGCCTTCTGCTGGACTCACTCCAGGAGGGTTGCATCTGAATTAGACAGAAAGGATTTTACCAGTAAAAAGCATGGATAAAGCCATTTATATGTCAACTCCTAGAACAATCTACTAGATTTTCTGCAAAATAGAGACCTTCTAATACACCAAGTTTCAAACCCATTTTCTGAGCAAAACCAATTTTTGGTGACTTATCAATTCTCCGTGGCTCAGACTTGAACTGATACACTTCAGCAAAAGTGCTACAGAAAATGTAAAATGTAAGCAACACTTGGCAAAAAATAAAGGGATCCTCCTTCATGTAAACTTCTTTAAGCACTTAAAAAAGACCAAAAAAAAAAAAGGATCTTCTTGCTCTAGAAAATATTTAGTCAAGTTTACTGCAATAATTGCAAAGGCCCAGCAGTATTTCCATCCCCAAACACCTCAAACCATCAGGAGTTGCATAGAGAGATCAAAAGAGCCCATATTACGTAACTTAAATAGTTTATATGAAAAAACTTTTTTTACTTCAATAAAGTACTTCACCCTAAGGAGAAGAAATGTCCAAGTTAAACACTTCAGTTCCAGAAAAATGATACAAAAATACTCTTTCAAGAAGCATCGCTCTAATCTAAGCTCTAATACAAACAATTTAGCATCTTTATACCACCAATACTATTTATGTTTTAGCTGGATAGAAGAATTCAAATATCAAAACATACCTTCTGAGCAGAGTCCTTCTTTTTCTTATCCTCTTTCTTCCTTTTCTTGTCTTCCATTAACTGTTCTTCCCTTTCTTGCTCCTTCTCTCTGCCAAAACATGAAAAACAATGATATGAGCACAATCAAGCTGTGTAAGAGCCACAAGTACTGTATGCCTCTCCCCCCCAAAGAAAGGCAGTCAAGCAGCTAGATTACTCTTATCATACTCATTTCCATTTGAGGGTTTCAGTCTAATTGTGATAAGAAGAGCACCTTCAAGCTCAGTATGGTCAAAATCACACCACGTGTTGCACAAAGGAAAATTCCTTTATTCAGATCAGGTCTCTTACGGCAGTTCCCTATATAAATTAACTACATGCCCGATAGTAGAAAATATATTCAAGACGTTTTGGCCAAAGTACCCTTATAATTGGGTTGTGCTATTATTTAACAGAGACTCTCATGAATCTTTTCATATGGTAAAAAAAAAAAAGGAAAGTTGTAATTTAGTATAAGATGGTTTGGTCTGATACAACATTTATCTTCACAAGGGGAAGAGATTATTCTATTGCCTGTAGCTATGTCACTTGTAAGAGACTTTAAGTGTCACATCAAATCAAACCCATCATTTATTATACAAATCTCTAATTTAATTTCTAGGCTATTGTACCCACCCACTGAATTTTTGTGATGAAACTTGTAATATAAATTAACTTTCTGGGGAATCTATTTTTTTACACAAGAACATTCTTTCAAGAAAGTAAAAAAAAATATGCAGCTGCTATTGTTGTCAAGCTATCATCTTGTTGCTATGTTCTGTATCAAATATGAAAGTACCATGAAATAGTTGATTTACTGCATACATGCAATTGGCTGAGCTGTTTCTATGGTGAATCACATTTTTGTTAACCAGTTCTCTTCACCTCCTTAAAAATAAATTTAAGGCCAAGTTTCCAGCTCACTTGGAGTAATTTCCTTTTACAGGGACAGAATAAAACAAAGACAATTAATGTAAAAAGATGAGCTGACAGATAAGGGATAGGATCAGAGATTCTACAAATGGGAAACAATTAACAAGTATAACCCATAATCTTTTGGAAGAAAATTTTATAAAAAACAGAACAGCATTACAAACAACACTGCAGTTTATAATAGTACTGAACTATTTCTTATATTTATGCATAAATCAAAGCTCTTTTCTGACCACAGTTTAAAAAGTTTAGACTTGAGTTGACTTTGCTGTTATATCACTCAGACTTTTCCTTCCATTGGATTTATACGGTACAGGTAATACTTTTGTTTTCATTTTCTCTAGATACTGCCAAGCCAGTGTACAAAGTGACATTTACACAACTAATTGATTCCTACAAAAATATTTTGAGATGCTATGTATTAATAGCTTCCTGATTGAGGACTTCAAAGAACTCTCTTAATGACAAAAGGTTCTATGGAGAATAATAGAAAAGTCTTCCTTGTTTCCTAAAGTGAGGCTCTCTCTCTTCATGCATCGATAAAATTGATAAGGGCAAGATGAGTCCTTAGAAACAACATCCCAAGGTTACCACCAAATGCAATTACTACACAATGGCAAGTTCAGTCTGCATTTAACAAAGTCTGAGGCAAATGTTCCACATCATACGGAACAGTGCTTTATGCACTCTGTCTGGTATTGCTTAAGCCACATTTGTCCTTGCTTTTTCTGTTCCCAGTAAAATGTCTAAGCACACTTCCTGATCTCTGACAAGGAAAAGCCTTGCAGGTTTTTCAGTGAGGGACTGGGAAGGTTAGTGTACTCTGCAGTGTCCATCATAGCACAGAGACAGAATTTTTTGTTTTCTTTTTCTCACAGATTGTAAGCAATATGAAAAAGCTCTCTTGTGACACCCTCATCTTTCAAAGTTACTGTAACCTCAAACTACATTTACTACTTTGCACTGTCGAGCTACCTACCCCTTTTGGGCTGCACTGCCAGTTACAAATTCACTATTTCCAAAAAACTTCCTTGCAGCAGGCAAAAGTTTAAAGAGCTGTCTTAAAAGAGCTGCTGAAAAACGGTCGGATCAAAATACAAAATGACTTCCAGTAACTGCTTGGCACACACATGGCCTTCTACTTAAAAGAACTTTCCTCAGTTTTGTGATCAGAAAAGCAGGAATGGAGAAGAATGAGGAAAAAAAGTCAGAGCTGAACCTATGGCTTACAATGACATGCAGCACTAAAAAGAGTCAAGGACGAAAGATCCATAGCCTGGAAGTAATCACCTAATTATGGTCTGCCTTTGTGGTAAATTTAGGACATGGACATTGCTACTGTTGCTGCCTTGTTTTCCAATCTATATGGACTAAGGTTGCTAAGAAGCACTTTGTTTTGCATGACAACCTCCCCTTCTGCTCTATTAGTAGAGATGCACATTTAATATTCCATTGGGCACATCACCAACAACCACAATATAGCAGCAATCAATACTTAGCCTACTTTGTTTACCAAAACTGTATTTAGTCTTCAATTCATGTAAGTTCTACTGAGGTGGAAGGGATCTATCTGAACACTTGGGCTACATCACATGCACAAGATCATAAAGTTCCTGACAAAGCGCTAAGTGAAATCTCACAAACATGTAGGAAGTATGAAGCTGCACTCTCCAAATGACAGAGCAAGAATGGATGCTACAGACATGGTAAAGTACCACTGAATTAGAGGGGTTGAATTAGGTTAGCTTATTGCTAGTTTCGGTATCACACTCGCCATCTTCCCGATTCCACACTTTCACGCATTTCACTACTATTTGTTTTATGATCAATTATTTTTCTTTTCAGTTGCATGCAAGAAGCAAGTTTAACCTGCAGCTGCCTATTAACCATCTCTCATTAGCCAAAGGATAATTCTTCCTGGCCTGGTCAAGAAAACTGGGGGATCCATCATGTACATTCCAGCAGCCAGCTGCTTACACTGACAAGATGAACAAGGGCAGAAAACCCATCAACTCCAAGCAGAGTGAATTTAGAGTAATACAATGGGGTGTGGTTCCGGTTTTTGTTACCAGCACACAGTAATGGGAACACAGACACACCACAACCCTGAAGAGGAAGTTTGCTAAATAGCAATCAGCAGCCAGCTTTTTACTTAAGCTTTCTTCAAGAAAGCATGTGTTGGTCTTAAAAATATGACCTAATTGCACTATAATATTTCCCATAAAATCTTAGAATCAACATTATGGAAAAGTATTTGAGAAGTGTATTACAGATTTTAATTCCAAGTACAGTTAAGTTATAATCCAAAATGTTATTTTATTCATAAAAATACCCAAACTCAAACAAACCCAGTAGCTATGATGCATTACACTCAATACCTTATCTAAGTTCTTACAACAACCTTTTCTGGCTAAGTCAAAAGAAATCAGTTCAGAGAAAGGAAGTTTTTTCAGCTTGTTAACTAGAGACAAAATAGACAACACTTGTGAAGTCCATGTTATCAAAGTATCCATTTCAGGAAAAGAAAAAAGAAGAAAAACCAGACATTCAAGAGATGTTCCCACCTCCAAAACAATTTACCAGTTTTGGAAATTGTTAATTTCCTGCAAAATTCTAATATTCATTTTTCAAAAAAAATCCATTTTAAAAAGAGTTGTTCTCGAAAAATTATGGGCTCGAGGCACGGGGAAAGGACAGAAATTCCTAGAAACTCAAGCGTGGCACTTTAGTGCATGCAACTTCCATTTCCTTCCTCAGGTCTACAGGACAACAGTGTGAGAGTTTGAAAGTTCCTCGTAAAGGTGTGGACTAGATACCAGTACTGTGAGTCATCTTCCCTCCTCTTGACCTCATACTTAACTTAATTTCACTACAGTAAACTTGGTTTAGTTATACTATGACACAGCACAGGAGAGATGGTAAACTTCTGTAGGTGCACTCTGTTCTCCACAGCATAATAAGCACAGAGTGACTTACAAATCTGCTTCCAAATTGTGAGTCAAGTTCTGCATCTTCATTCAGAACACACAGGATTCTGAAACTATGCTTGTAGTATCAGTAGCACTTTTAAAAAACAAGCTTTTATCTATATAGCTACAAGGTCATGTTAACAACTGTTATATCCTTCCTAAAGGCTTTGGCCATAACTAGCCAGAGCTAAAGGCCACCACCATGTGGAGAGAATGACACTTGAGCTATTCACTAACTTTTTCTTACAGACAGGCCTCTAGTGATCCAAAATACCGGATTAATCTTTCAGAAATAGATGAAAAGACTCAAAACTTGAAGGACTAAACCAGAAATTTAATCTACAGTAAGGTATCCAACTTTGGCCAAGATCTGAGGTAAACATTTCCGTTGAACTACAAGCACCTAGCTTCTCAGCATTTCTGAAACTTCCCTCAGTATTTTGATAAATTATACAGCCTGGATATCAGCAGAATTTGGCATCACACATTAGTGTGTTGGATGTGTTGCAAAACACCTTTATAACAAGCTTAAGGCCAGATGCAACTTCCAAGATAGAAGCTCCTCTCAATCAATATAAGGACAAAAACTCTTCCAGAAAAAAGTAAAATGCCTTCAACAGCGCCGTTTCATGAACAGCTTGCTGCTGCCACTAAGTATTTTTTCTGTTGTTCCACTTCATTTCTCTTCATTAGGCTCTGTCCCTGACCTTCTCTTGGCTTGAGCCTTCTCTGGGACTCAGCTGATCATATGGGAAGCAAATTCAACACAAATACTCACCTGGACCGTACCACCCCTATACTAAACTGTTTTGTAAATGGAATTGGCCTAGAGTATTATCAGATAATCACCACAAGCAGCGTGCACAAGTATCGAGGAATCTCCTTTCCAAGTAACATGCTAGACTGGTTGCAATTGAATGAAACTGCATCTTACTATATTGCAACACCTCTCACAGAGCACCCAGGTCAAACTGTATCATACAAAGGTCTACTAGCAAAAGGGAGTGTATTTGCTTTTGAAACAGACTCCTATGATGTTCTCATATATTAAGGAGAATGTTTCCTCTGGGCTGGATTTAGTCCTTTATCCCATACTCCTCATATGTTACCTGAGCATTGTCACCTGCACCTGAGCAACTCTCCTAACCGTAACACAGGCTTTATTGGT